AAAACTGTAATAAAATCTTTTTTCTCTCCTTCTAGGTTCAGAATCATCGGAAGTTGCGGCTTGTGACGAATGTATGCAGGTACGAATTAAGTAACGTACCGTCTTATATTGGTACACTTCTGGGTTCAATGTTTTCCAGTATGATGGATCCGGCATGTGAGGCCAATACCGTACATCCGCTAACATGTGAACCTCTGCAGTTCCCTGTTTGGATGGAGCACAAATGCATCTTTACACAAGTAACACTGATGGCTTCTAATCTGATAGGATTGATTCCAAGTTAGTGATAAACCTATTTATTCACTGAAAAGTGTTAATTCTTGACAAAGTCGTAGTCATTACTATGATTTTAACAATAGTGTATGGAAAATAATAATATAGGAATGAATAAGGCACAAAAGCCAATAGTAAAACCAAAGAATCAATTAGTTCGATGTAAGTTGGTGAACTTTTTTACATTATGACCTTTACGATCATCGCAGATTTCCGTATCACGATTTTGAAACTATCTTTTCAGAATTCGTTTGATTACTCAAGGTCGTCTTTACACAAAATTTGAAAATGATGCATGTCACTAAATGCTGCCTTTCGAAATCTTTAAATTCATTCAAAGCAAACCCTTTATTACAATACCCAATGAATTTATACTTTCCGATAATTGAATTACTCCGTTTGTGCATTTTAATCAAATCTTAATTAAATGCTTGTTTAAAGAATTAAACGATTAAGAATTTTCAAAATGCACATGCGTTACTTTTTAGACGCTGAAATGGATGTGACAGTTATAGTTATAGGGGGCTGCCAGACGCAGTGGCAAAGTGACAGTGATGGAGACGGTTGTATCAGTCTGTCGGAACTAGACGAAGCCACCGAGTCTGTCGGAACTAGACGAAGCCACCGAAACCCAGCTTACACAACAGCTTGCTTCACTTTTAGCACAATGGGAAATCGTATCCTATAGTTTGCATGGAATCACCTTGAACTTAATACCTATTGTTTTCGTCAAATAGTCAATTAGTTTCATTTGAAATAAGTCATCCACATATATTAAGCTTTCTTGTTGTTGTTGTTTTTCTTCTCTTTTCAATTTTGGGCACAACAGTTTTTTTGCAAGTGCTAGTGCTCCGGATATGAATGTTTAAACAGATAGAAAGAAAATCCGCTCTATTTATTTTTTTTCTACTTTAATCACAATATGTTTCAATTCACCATTGCTTTATTCATTCATCCTTGCTTTCTTCGTGTTATAAGCCTCAAACATGCTCCATTATTACAATTATACAAAACAAATGTTTGCATTTTCTCAGAGAAAAAATCGTATGTGCCTTTTATGTTTCGTGTATAATATCATGATCCATATCTTTTGTTTTCTGTATATGTTGACATTAAAAATTAACACCAAAATTACAAAATGTAAAAACACATCATTTTTATTAAGCATAAAACATAGAAAAATGTTCAACGACAGACATGTCAAGTGTTATATAATATAGTTCAAAGAGAGTATTAATTCGAAATACTTTTAACGATTCTCACCATTAACACCACTAAACAACCTTAATGAAACTAAAACTAAATATATTGTTTCAAATATAGAAAAAAAGTTTAAATAATCAAGGAAAAAATCCAAATTTAGAACAGATTTAGATGATATCATTTTAAAAAAAAAATATCTTAATATTAGTTCAGCAGGGTTATTTTGGGATGCTGACCCAAAGTTCTTTGCTGTATTATAGTAAAATATTTTACATCTATCTCCTGGCGTCATTCAGAAAATACATGTACATAATATAAAAATATGTTCTTTCATTTCATTCATTTAAACTCAATTAAAGCTGAAAAAAATATTGTTTTACTATATTATGCAAAGTTAATTAATGTTTTACTATATTTTCTAAAATGAACTTGGCATCACTATCAGTTTCCATTAGTATTTTAGAGAAATGTTAGTGTTATATAATAGATATAATTATCTGAAGAAACCTATTCTTTAATTTGACATCATACATGTGCACTATCACTATTGAGCATTATCGTTTGGACATAACTATCATTATTATTATTATTATTATTATTAGACTAGATTATATAATGGAGATTTACTAATTGATAATTGGACATAATTATCGTTTTAGAATATAACAATTTAGAATGAATAATTAATAGTTGGATACATCTTTATCATAGGATATTACATTTGATGATGACTTCTGAATAGTTTGCCTTCATTTTTATTTTTTAAGAATGAATTATTAAACATAGTCAATAAAACGTTAGTTGAAAACATTAAAATAATGAATTATTGTAATTCTCTCTTTTATTATTTAAATGATTCTAATTAAATTTTTTATTCTATCTACGTAATGAATGCTTTGCAATACATATAAAATATTAAACGGTAAAAAGGGAAAAATATACCCACACACTGAGATGACCAATATATCTCAATCTCTTTATTCCTATCTATTTTAAATAAAATATTTCTCTTGAGAGTTAAGTAATGACATAATAATGCATTTATTTAATAAATATCATTGGTCTTTTGGGAGATTTCATTTCAATACTTTTTGTTTGAAATGGGAGTTCAAAATGAATAAAAGAAAGCGACGGTCACAAAACGCAGCCCCGAACATTATTATAATTTTGAAAAGGGGTGACCTCTCGGAAGTAATAAAAACAACAATATTTCATGAAAATTGCTGTCTAGGTTTGATAAAACCGGTTTATGAATGCAACATCTCTCACATCCTCTAGTTAAAGCTTTATTCATTCTTCAACAAAAGCCTATCATGAAGGACCAGAAATTTAAAACAACACTGAAGTGAAGTACGGGGCAACATTTTACAGCTGATTATCAAGCTACACAGTATCACCGAAAAGTCTCCATATGTAGCGTCGAGCATGAAGAAAGAAAGCAAAATAAAAAAAGGTTATAACGGGTGTTGTAGAACAGTAGGAATGGTCGAATTTATTAATAATTTGATAATCTAAATATTGCACACAGTATTATATAAATTTTGCAGGTGAACGACATTTTGTCGAAAGACATCTCGTCGACTTTTTTTAACACTACGACAATACGACAAAACTTTAATTTTGCAATACTACTCAGCCGCCACATTTTCTGAGTGGAATTGAAAATAGTATCAGATATTGACTATATGATTTTATAACATATGCATCGCCGATTAAGGCCACTCGATTTACCCTCAGAATAGTTCTATCTCACGAGTGAAAAAAAATCTCAAAATATTTTGACCTGTATTTTATGTTTATGTCTATCACTTATTTCTCAAGAAAATTTAGCTTACACAAATTTAAAGGACATGCATGCTATATTGTTTAAACATGTGCTCCGTAGGCTTATTCAATCACCATTCAAGACTCCATTTACCGCTCTTCGTCTATAAAAGTCACTTTATTTCAACGTCTTTTTAAGCTGTACAGTGCTTTTTTAATTTAAACAATTATTTCATCTGATATTTTATGTATTGTAAGCAGAAAAAAATCAAACACCAAACATATAAACAAACATGAAAATATTTACGAAACTTATCCTCAGATGTATGTCTATGTTGTTTCATACTGTTTTGGTGACACTTTTGCTTGTGTCCCTTGTTGTTTTCTCGTCTACGGTAAGTATTTCCCCCTTTGCCTCTAGTTTTTATTTCTTTGATTAACCCCCCCCCTTCCCCCGGTCTTCTGTTCCCTTCCCCTTTGTGGGCCTATTATTATTTTCTTTGAATTCCTAATCAGTTACAAATTATTTATCATTTAATGATTAACGTGTCGTTGCCCTGTCCTTTTTATGTTTGGGGTCCGCCTGGGCTCCTTGCCGTTGGTTCTTGTTGCTGGGTCATATGGGGGTTGCGTTCATTGAACGCCGCCTTTCCTTGTTGATCTTGTTTTTCATATTTTATAAAATAAATCATGTTTTGCAACCCAAAACAGATTTCATTTTATAGATTAAACTGCCCATTTATTGAATTATATATTTTATCTCAATGAATAGACACAATTAATCTTATTAAAGCAACTTTAACAAGGCAGTTTGAAAGACAGCTAAATCCCCTTTGCAGTGAACATCAATTTCAATTTTATGAATGTGTACTTCTGGACCTTTTACCAACCATGACCTTGATGTTGTGCCATGCATATCATAAGAACATAATCTCACTCACGATGGTGATTATTTGTGCAAAGTTATAATAAAATAGAGTAAAACAGAATCTCTAAAGAAAGCCCAACACGACAATATTATAAATGTTGCAGGCTCGGTTTGATTGAGCCTGTTCATGGACGGTACTGGAAAGTGCAAGCTACCGTCCACGCCCCCTAGCACCGGCTTAAGCAGAATTCAACATTTAACACGAAAATTTGAAATTTTGAATTTAGAAACATCCGCAGATGTGTTCATACGGCGGTTATCATGGAACCTTCAATGTGGCACAGTGGTGCCATTCCATGAAAAGCGGCGTATGATCCCCAAGGAAAAGAATGCTTTTACCCTAAACGATAAAACAATGGGCGGAACTAAATAAAAGTGAATTTTGAAAGGGTTATGAAGCCTGCATATCGCAGATAAGACGTCGAAAGACAAATTTAAAAAGCAGGCAACATATTCTAAGGGTGATTCAACATTATCTAAGAAGGAATACTGGAACAACCCAAGTTGAAAATGGCCAACTAGAAGAAACTTAAATTACCACATAACATGTATACACAATAATCTCATGCTGAACAATCTTCAAGGATCGAAAATATAACACCATTGATTAAGGGTACGAGGAGATTTTTTACAGCCGCCACACGGCACAAAAAAGTCAAAAAGTTATGCATTGAAAGGGATAAATAACCCATACCAATTGCTATCGGCCTTTATTATTTTCTCCGCTTTGCCATTTCATAATTGCTTTTATAACAAACAATTATGGGAAAATGCCAAATGTTTTTGCTTAATGACTGAAATCCACATTTCATCATTTTGTAAATAGCTATGATAGAGAGAGCACGTTGAATAAAAATTATTTTTATACATTGTACAAAATGGATTACAAATATCTTCTTGTATTAAACGCATTGTGTCAATGCTTGGCAGAAAATCCTCGTGAAGCACTGGAATCGCCTCTAATATCAGATCTTTTTAAACACTACGATGTAAAAGTTAGGCCTATATATAATTATTCGGAGCCAGTTTTTGTCACTGTAGGTCTTGTACTTAGACAAATTCAAAATTTAGATGAAATTCGACAGTCACTGAAAACAACAGTTAACCTACAACTGTTTTGGAAGGACGAGTTTCTGACTTGGAACGAATCAAATTATCATGGGATATCTAAGATCATTTTTCCGTACAACAAAAACATTTGGATTCCAGACTTGATAATAGTCAATGAAGTAAATACACCTGGTATGATTGGATTAAAAGATGCCTTTGTACGGATTTACAGCAATGGACAAGTTTTTGTGTGGACTCAAATCAACATAGAAACTTATTGTGAAATTAATACAAAGCAATATCCATATGATGAACAAACGTGCGATATTGCTTTTAGTAAATTTATGACTTCAGATGATATTGTAAAGCTTCAACCCAGGATAAATGGAATTGATTTAAGTTTCTATGCTGAAATAGCAGAGTGGAATGTCAAAAATAACTATGTTACACCAAGATTAATTCAGATCAATGAATCAGTAGACTCCTTAAATATTTTGTCTAATTATACACGTATAAAGTTCTCAATTACATTACAACGCTCCTGCAAACTTTGCATTCTGAACGTTATTCTACCAGTGCTGGTCCTTGCTTTTCTAGACTTGCTTGCATTTTTTGTACCATCTGAAAGCGGTGAGAAGACAAGTTTTCCCTTATCTCTTTTTCTTACATTAGCTGTTTTTCTTACGATAATTACACAGTCATTGCCGGAATCTGTTGATGGAGTGTCTTATCTTGGATCATATGTGACGTTCCAACTAGCTGCTAGCGGAATAACCCTAATGTCGGCAGTGATTTCTTTGCAGATTCATTACGGCGCACACTGTTCCACACGCATGTCTAAACTACTTTCGTTTGCTGATTGTCTTGAGCAATTCGGAAACCGGACGGCTCTCCGAAAGAAACATGATTCGAAAAGTAATGTATACGATCTTCAAGATCTTAAACGTGAACAAGAAATTTCAAAGGAAGTAAACGTAGAAGCTGAAACTAAATTTAAAAATGTTTCAGCACAGTTTGACCGTTTAATGTTCATTGTGATTCTATTTTGTCAAATTATTGCTCTTACAATTTTTCTTGCTTGTGTATTTTTTTAATTTTATTTCATGCATTTGTGAAATAATGTTACCAATTTCAATTTTTTATTTATGTATACTCAGTTGCAAAAACGTGTGCAGTTTGTTACATGTTTTGTTCAACCAATCTATGGATCAACGCAAGTGTTTGAGATTGCAAAGAACTGACGTAACGGCATATAGAGATGGATTTGAATGTTGTTCTATTCAAAAGTTCAAGTATTCAAAGACAATAGGCTTTACTTACGCTTTTTCATAATTCATAAACAAATCATGATAAAATAATCAAAAGTAGACAACAACTAGCATTTAATAGCAGAAACAATGTAGAAAACGTGTTTTTAACATTTGCAGTTGAAAAACCAACATTTGCAGTTGAAAAACCACAGAAGACTTACTCAAAAATATACCAATGTCAGCCTACAAAAACGCAATCTTTAAATAAGTAAATTGGGAGCCCATCAATTTGTTTTCAGGTTCAAATTAAAATCAAACTGTACTTTTCACCATTTAAATTGTGTTGCCATTGGTTTCGAGGAATTAAGTATTTGATTAAAAAGAGTTGATTTTCAATTTTTAACCAATCCTTAAGAATAGCAAATAGATTCCTGTCGAAAATGAGATAATGTATTAAACTTGATGTATAACAAGCTTATGGAAATATTTCAATAAGGATAGCTTTTGGGCCCTATAAGATCAAGTTCAACGCCACTCTTATTAAAAAAGAATAAAAGGTTTCCAGTCGATAACTAGAGTAAGGAATCATATACTGTAACAAAACTTGGTATCTAGCAAATTTATGTGGATACCTCAGTTAGGATAGCTTTTGGGTCCTCCAAGGTAAAAGGTTTCCGGTCCGTTGTTAGAGTAAGTAACGTGCTATATAGCAAGCTTATGTAAATAATCCACTAGGAAAGATTGTGAGTGGAATGACAGTCGACGTCTAGCTATGTAATTTAATTTTGCGGAAATTGCAATAACTTTATTACTTTTGGATACATTTCAGCCTCCACTTGCTATTGCTCTCAGTTGAAAACCTGGTTTATTGGCATTGCCTTGCCTTATTTTTCTAAACTATTGTCTCGTGTCTCGTATTTGGTATTTTATGAACACTTTATAAAGCTAGATAAGTTCACAGACTTAAACCTTATTTTTACCCACGTGTTATTTATACCCCTTACGAACAGTTTGTTTAATTATCTTTATTGATAGGAGCTTAATAGCAAAAGAGCAATAAGTACTTCAACGTATTAACAGGCTCGGCAAACTTACTCCACTTCAAAATTACGGTGTACTGAAAAAAAGCGGACGGCTGCCTTTATAATCTGAATACTACTTTACTGAAAAGATGAGCGTTAGGCAATTATATGAGATTTTCTCAATGAGATTGAGTGAAAGTATAGATTCTGAATAAGGGCCAAAGTATTGTTTTTATTTGTTTGGGTCGTCAGACCAAACAAATAATGGTAGCGAAATTTCTGACCCTGATGTTCTTATTTGCAAATGCCGAAAGTAGTCCAAACTCCTCGAAGCGGTTACTTCCCTTCATATGTACATTAACGCCTAAAAATTTAGGGGAGATCACTGCGTAAAGATTGTCAAATGACATGTGCATAAATTTTCGTAACAAAGAAGTAGTTCCCGATTGGTCGAAGATTTCTAATATTGTTTTATTCTTTTAGATATACATGCTTATATTGAGCTCCATGATTATTTACTTCAGTGTTACCGTAAACAAAATTCATCGAAATTAATAAGGGTTACAAACTCTAATTAAGAATAATATGGTATTCTTTAGGCTGTTATCTTATAACTCCCCGTGGTCGAGGGGTTTACACGCTCGCTTTAAAAGCGAGAGGTCCGGAGTTCAAATCCCAGTTCAGACATCTCATGTTTTTGTTTGTGTTTTTTAATTGATTAAGCCAAATAAACATTGAATTGAATACCAGTGTTGCAATTAGTCTTATAGCAATTTACTATTATAGTTATAACACTGGAAACAGAATTTGGTGACACTTTACAAACAAATTGGTTGATTATCTCACAACCTTCACCTTTCTGACATTCTGAGACCCAAACATATTCAGCGCCTTCTGTGCTTTGATTGTGTTTGGCTTCTAGTCCTGAAGTATTTTATTTCACAAATTGATCAATGCAGTTCCGTGTAGGATCGATGAAGGCTTCAAATGAACTGCTATTGCGAAAAGAAAATTAAATTAAACACGAGAAAACTTTTTCCCATAACGAAGTGAACGACGATTTTTTGAATGTTGAACTTCAAAATCATTAAAATGATATACCTTTCGGATTTATTGAAAAAGTGTACAGAAATACATATATGCGTCAAATTAATATACAATACATTAAGGCGACTCCAACCAACCAACCAACCAACCAACCAACCAACCAACCATACAACCAACCAACACATTTAACATTAAACGACAAAAGTTTTAGTCAAGATTTACCATTTTGTCAAATAGATGACTTGAATCAATTTTGATTTCTGTCCACTGGGTGCCATATATATTTCAATTTACCGTTCCTATGTATTAAATATAATAACATTTTATTATTTTCTGTGATCTTGGATTGATGTTAACTGTGTCATAATTATAGTAAACTAGTAAAACTTTACACATAAAGCAGTTGGCTGAAATGAATATGACAGTGTCACACTTCCCAAAATTAGCTTGAGAAATACGATACAAAAATAAATCACTCAGAATTGCTAGATAATGAATCATAAATGATTGAAGCTTAAAGTCTTAAAACTTCATAAAGAAGTAAGTTGTTGTAATCATAAAACATTTAGGAAAGTATCAAAAATTGTCATTATTGTTTAATAGCAATACGTTTAAAACAAATTTATAATGGAGTATACTTTACAAAAATTGCCACTGTGATGGAGATCTAATGAATTTAATAGATGTAGGAGCTTTCATGTATGTAGTCAAACCGAGTTTGAATTTAAAATTTTATTTCCACAGTTAAAGGTTATCTTAGCGCTAGCGTTGCTTATCTTTTTTACACATATAATAAATATATTCACCTTTTGAAAATAAAAATAATTCATACATGGAGTGTAAAACTACAAACTATTTAATAATGAAGCGGGATACAAAGTGATACAAATAAATAAATGATTCTTGTTTGAAAAGAAATATGATAATATAATTGATTCCATAATGTTTTCTTTCCAATCAATAAAATGTATTATAAAAATTAGAAATGATGATGAAAGGGTTTGTAAACTGAGACATTTCAATAAAATTGTTTGTTGAACGTTTGTATGTGTAGTAATGGAAGCTTAAACTAATAAAGGATTCAATTAATAAAAATCTATAAAAGCTTCGAGTATCAATTTGAATTATTTGAAAGCTTATTGTGATACTTTGGTACATTAACCAAGGTTTTTGTTTACTATGACATATGTTTTTCCCTGAACTTATGGGTTGTATTTAATGAGAGGGCAAATAAGATATCCATGTAATTGTTTGTATGACCAGCACTCAATCGCAGTTAGTTAAAAAAGGAAATCTTAAAATTTACAATATAAATCATCAGCTAATGTGTTGAGAAAACAATATAAATGAATGCCTAATGTAATTGCATGAATTAAGATTAATTTAATATGAAGATTCATATATTCGTAGCGTTGGCAATGGTCATGCAAAATACAATATTGGCACTAGAATATCCAGAACTGGAGTTACAAAATAAAATATTCAAGGGATACAACTCGAATGTAAGACCAGTGAAAAATTGTTCTAAACCAGTTGTTGTCACCGTAGGATTGGCGTTAAGGAAAGTTCTCTATTTAGATGAAATGAGACAGTCATTTAAATCTACCATGAACATTAATCTTTATTGGCATGATGAATCACTACAATGGAATAAATCCGAGTTTCATGGGATAAAGAACGTTGAAATTCCCTACAATAAAAATATATGGATACCTGATTTAATGGTTTTAAATGCTTTGGATAGGCCGGAAAATCTTGGCGTACAGGACGCTTTTATTAGACTGAATGATATTGGACAAGTTTATGTGTGGACTCAAACTAACCTTGAGACAGCCTGTGGAATTAGAACTAAAAAGTATCCCTACGATTTGCAGGTATGTGACATAGTCATCACAAAATTCATGAGCTCAGATGCTAAAATAGAAATAAGACCTTTAGAAAAACATGTTTACATGGACGACTACGTTGAAATAGCGGAATGGAAAATAGAGGATACTTCCGTTGGAACAACAGTTATTCCATTTAATATGACGCTGTCCGCGGAAGCGGATTTTCTTCTTTTTGATATTGTTAATTACACATCGATTACATATACTTTAACACTAAAGAGGTCTTGCAAATTGTGCTTTTTTAACATTATCCTACCGGTATTGATATTAGGAGTCCTTAATTTTCTCACGTTTTTTGTACCTTGTGAGAGTGGCGAGAAACTGAGTTACCCGATAGCTATGTTTCTGACCTTAGCGGTATTTTTGACGACCATTACACGATCATTACCAGAGTCGATTGATGGTGCATCATACCTTAGTTTATATGTTACTTTCCAGTTGGCAGTCAGTGCAATGATACTTCTATGTGCCGTTACTTCTCTGCACATCCACCACAAAAAGAGAAAGTCATATTGACACTATATAGTATGTCAAATTACCAAATGTTTCAGACGTCAGCAAACGCAAAAAAAAGGATGCAAAAATATGAATTCTTCTTCCGGGAACAATCATATGGAAAATGGTCGTTCTAAAACCTTATCCGAACGTAATGAGAACTTTCACTCGGATGGCTTGTCAAAAGCATTTGATATGCTTATGTTTTACGTGTTCGGATTATGTGAAGTCATTGCGACAATTACATTTAGCATATTTATTTGGAATTAAGATGTCGTTAATCAAACAGAAATCAGAAAGAAAATCTCTTTTACAATAACATTTGTATTGTGATTAATGATAGTATCAAAGGAAAAAACTGTTTATAAAATGCCAAGATCCAGATCAATAAAAATCGAATAATATTCTGTACATTACAGTGACTGGAATCACGCGAACACGATTTTACTCATGTGTTTAAGAAACTTGATTACCTCTGTTTGAATGGTTCAGAGATCGTTACACTTGACTGACTATTGGAAAGATTAATAACAGATTTAAAATGTATTAGTTTCATACTTTCTTCTTATTGCATTCAAATAGCAACGTATTTAAGATTTTTATATACAGTTCACCTAATAAAACATAAAATGTTAAAATTATTTTTATGACTAAACATTGAGGCGTGACATATGAACTTATTAAAGATTTGTTCTATCAAAGTCAATTATATTTTACTGATCCTTAGAGAAAATTGACCCCAAAAGTGAGAAAAATGAGTATACCTATAGATATGCTGCACTTTATATTGCATTATGTCAACAGACATATTTTGGGATGTGTCTTAATTCAGAATTTCACCATTTTCATGTATGTTTAAAGCAGCATGAGCCATATATTTCAAATAAAATGAAACTTGAGAAAAAAGTACTGAGAATTTTGGAAAAGAAGAAAAATTCAGAATTACAGTAATACTTTATACGTTATAAGCGATTAATGGTTAATGTTTCATGATGTGTACCTGTATTTCTACTGCGTTACTAACTTGAATCTTGAATGTATACGAGCTTTTAATGGGCAGCCATTGTAAATCGAAAAGTGCTTGCTTGGAGCGATCAAATGTTGATCTATTTAATACAAGTTTAACACACATGTGTTGGATACGTTAAAGTTTAGATAACTCAGTTTGCAAAAAACCGTACAATATGACGTTACAGTAGTCCAAATGAGATATAACAAGAGATAAAACAAGTGTTTTAGTGGCATCAGAAGACAAATACTGCCGAATGCTAGTGATCTTTAAATAGTTTAGCATAGCAGTTTTACATTTTCTTTTGATATGTTCTTTGAAATTTAAAGATTCATCTAAGAAGGCTCCAAGATATCTTATACAATGTTGCGATTCGATCTCATTAACACAAATATAAATTTATTTTGTGTAACACTTCTCTAATTGTTGAGTGCTTCCATAACGAATAAACTCAGTCTTTGTGTTAATATTCATTTTCAATTTGTTTCCGTTCATCCACTCATTGATGTCGACGGTGGATTGTTCGAGGTCTTGAACTGCAGACGCTTCTTCGAATAGTGATTTAAAGCGTTTGTTAGCCGTGTGGTCATCGGCAAATCCAAACACGGGAATAGAAGGAGACACAATGTCAAAATATCGTTCCAGCATAGGTCAGGCATGGACGTTTCTCTCGCTCTATTCATTCCGTTCATTGTATTAATAGAAATCATTCAAAATAATTGTCATTTGGTGTATACAAATAATCCGGTAATCAACTAGCACACAGTGACTTAAAATTTGTTAACATATTATTTGACAAAATATATAAAAAATAGTCCAAGCGCAGCATGCTCTCATATGATGTGAGAGGTCCGGGGTTCGAATCCTAGTCAAGGTAACAAAATATTTTAAGTGTCTTTTTTAGTGATCTATCATTTCTCTTTTTCATCGAATAAATTGTAGCCCATGCTACTTTAAAACAATTGTTTGTAGACAAAATAGACAAAAAACGTCCAAAACGCCGAAATTAAAAAATGTTGCACACTCGGATTGAGTGAGTTTGTTCATGGACTGTATTGAAGAGTGCAAGCTTTACTTCACGGCTGTTTATACAACGTTTATTATTAAACCTTTTATGTTACATGTCAGTGCCGTTCTATGAAAAGCGATGTACGATCCAAAATAAAAGAATGCATATGGCCTAAAAGGAATGATGAATAGGCGAAACTACATAAAATCGAATTTTTTGAAGGGGAACGACTCCCAAATGAGAAAATAGAATAATATTAATGTGAAAGCAACACGATAATGCCACGTCCCTTGTGAGGTGTTAAGTAATTTTGATAAATTTTGATATGTGCTATGCAAATGGCGCTAATGTAATATGATTCCGATAATGCCCATCAGAAAAAGTCATCCGGCTTGAATATTTTAGTAAAATATCTATGCAAATGCTTTAGTATACTTAAAGGTCAATGTCTGCCGTATTATTTATTCGTTTAATGAAGAAATTATAGGAACATTGCTATGGTTCGGAAGTGATTGTGTTAGCAGCTTTCTAACTCATTTCGATCGTATGATTAAAAAACGTCTTATATTTGTCAGCAGGAGCTTTTGCAAAAATCACAATTTGTTGTCTGAAAAAAGTGACTGCCTTGAAAAAAATAATAAATAAATAAACATGACTTTATATGTAATTTTAGTATTCACGTTTTTGATACAAACGGCGGTATGTGAATTAGAATTCCCGGAGTTGGAATTACAAAATAAAATCTTTAAGGGTTACAACACAAATGTAAGACCAGTGAACAATTATTCTAAGCCAGTTATTGTCACTGTTGGATTAACGTTAAGAAAAGTTTTGCATTTAAATGAAATAAGACAATCATTTAAATCTACCATTAATGTGAATCTCTACTGGTACGATGATTCACTACAATGGAATAAATCTGAATTTAATGGAATAAACAACATTGAAATTTCTTACAATAGAAATGTATGGATACCTGACTTAATGATTTACAATGCTGTGGAGAAACCAGAAGATCTTGGCATAAATGATGCTTTTATAAGATTAAATAATAACGGACAAATTTATGTGTGGACTCAAACCAATTTTGAAACAGCTTGCGAAATCAAAACTAAAAAGTATCCCTACGATATGCAGGTATGTGACATAGTCATCACAAAATTCATGAGCTCCGATTTGGAAATAGACATTAGACCTTTAGAAAAATATGTTAACATGAACGAATATGTTGAAATAGCGGAATGGAAAATTGAAGATACTTCCGTTAAAACAACAGTCGATCCAATAAATATTTCAGTTTTCGTGGACACAGATATTTCATCTGTCGATGTTATAAATTACACATCGATTACATATACTTTAACACTGCAAAGGTCTTGCAAATTGTGCTTTTTCAACAATATCCTACCCGTCATGGTACTAGCAGCATTAAATTTTCTGACGTTTTTTGTACATTGTGAGAGTGGCGAGAAACTGAGCTATCCGATAGCAATGTTTCTAACATTAGCGGTCTTTTTGACGATCATAACACGTTCCTTACCAGAGTCAATTGACGGAGTCTCCTACCTGAGTTCATACGTTACGTTTCAGTTGGCAGTCAGTGCAATGATTCTTCTGTGTGCCATTATTTCTTTGCAAATCCACCACAAAAAGAGAAAGTCTAAGGCACAAAATAGAGCATGCCGACTGACAAGATGTTTCAGACATCAGCAAATGGAAATTAAAGAATGTAAAAATTACAATGCTACTCCCACGGAAAATCATACGGACACAAAACAATCTGAAACGGCTTCTCAATGTAATGAGAACTTAAAATCAGAAGATTTATCTTATGCATTTGATAAACTAATGTTTAGCGTTTTAGGATTGTGTGAACTTATTGCTACAACAACATTTATCGTTCTCATTTTAAAATGAAATTCAAGCATTAACATGAAACAAAACTCTGCAACAAATGTTTTTGTCTTGTATGTAAAACTTTTACTTATTACAAATTATTAAACAGTTTATATTAATTAATAAAATAGGCATATTTCAAGTAAACATGCATTTACATATACTTATATGCGATACATTTTTAAATTAATATACAACGATTATATAATGAACCTCGTTAATGTTAAATGGATACTCCCAAATAACAGAATGTCATTCATTCCATTCACAGGAAGCTTTGCAAGGATCGAAACACTGCTAATGACACATAGGCTGTTGATACAAATAAATGTCCTGGTAATAACACGGAAGATAATTTCGCCATGAAGCGTTTATAGCGCTCTTTAACTTAAAACACAAAAAATTGTGTCACTGTAGTTCCAGAGTAAAATATAGCCCTTGAAATGTAGTGCAGCCTCCACAGAGTGACACGTTTAAAAACATAAACATCTTTATAAACATTTTCAGTTTTTCCTAAAGTAAGACTGAACTTTTATTTCAGAGCAACACCTTCATATAATAATAAAATGCTTTGACTCCCAAAAGGTGTTGTTGAGAAATTGTTTAATGTTTAATTAGTAAATAAAGCATGCAGGTGAAATCATTTATGTTAATTTTTTGTTTACGTAAATGCAATAAAAAACCTTGTCAGTCACATGACATGTCTGATCCGGGACTCTCAGCCTGCTAGCGTTTACGCGATTGTACCAGATGTTGATTTCTGCTTAAGCTAGCATTAATTTGGGTGTTGTAGACTACAACAGTAGGTTGCGTTTATCCCTGCTCAATAAAAATATTCTGCAACATTTTCAGTTGTGCCCTGTTGTTGAATGGCAAACTTTCTGCCTTCAAGGAAGTTCGCGTCTTTGTAAATGTGTGAAAAGATATAAGCCCTACAGTTAATGTCATCAATTGAATCAAAGGCAACATTGTCAACATTTGCGCTACGTTGCATTTAAATCCCCCAATGTATGTTAAAGTTTTGCTTCGGACAACAGTTTTTCAATGAGCTCTAAGTGTGAATTTTAGATTTAACCCAGACACCTTGTTCATGCGCGCGATACGGCTTCTGATAATGGTGGACATTTCTTTGTAGTATTAATCAAGTCCCTCTATGCTCCGGACAAACTTGGACGCCGCCCGTCCTACCGCCCGCCAAACCGTCTGCCCGCCAGGGGCGTTTCTATGATACGACCCGTTTTTGAAACGGACGTATAAAAAGCAGAGGACCAAGAATGGAGCCTTGAGGTACGCCACATTTTACTCACTTCTGCAATTGATGAATATTTGCCTGATAAATCAATGCTTTGTATTTTTCTTTGTATATTATTCTTGTAAAATCAGCGATGATTTGTTTAACATTAAATATATCAATATAAGACTGGAAGGGATTAAATAAAAACATTTAGAACTATCTGAAACATCAGTGCTAAAAATCACCTACAAGTGTACATTCTTTTTCATTAAAACAGGAACTGAAGAAAACACATTTTCTGAAATAAAACTTAAAGTTACTCTGCTTTGAAGGTCTGTCGATACATTCGCAAATAAAAAGGTTTGGTTTAAAAGATATCAGTTTTATCACTATAGTTTTACTTATCATATCGGTTTTGATCGATTGGCATTGGAAAACATTGACCAAACTATCTAGAATTACCGTTTAACCACCATTCATTTAGGTTTTAAAATAAGTAATTCTGAACTTTTCGGCAGATGATGACATGTTGACGTAAGCGTACATTGTTTGCATACAAGAAACAATAGACACACAACAATGCATAAGCAGTAAAACTCTTTTATTTACTAACTGAACAATTATTATCTACATAACCATGATATTCTGATAATCATCAAATGTACAACATATTTTTACACTGTATTCTCAAATTGGCAGTACTGCATGGAAGTAACAAACACAAAATAAGATTATTGTACAATTATGAAACGTCATTTGTAAAACTAAATTTATTTTTGGTTTAATAAGTCAAACACATTTATTGTGTTAATATATCAAAAATATTATGCTAAAATTTGATTGCTAAAATTTGATATTTGAAATTGCTGATTCATGCTATAACCGTTCCTTTTTAATGTAAAATACATGTAAATACTTTTGAGTACACACAAAGAAGTCATAATACGTTTTAACTATACACACTATAGGAAAAACAGTATAAATACACCGTAATATGAAACACCTATCAGATTTTATTTAAAACAGGACTAAATTAACTCGACCAGTAATAAGAAATGCAGATTACTAGACATAGTTTGAGCATTCTTTATGAATTAGACAAATACATTCAGAAATTTCTAGATTTCAATAAATTCTTACAATTAAAGTATTTTATCCAATGATGAGTACAGTGTATGTATACCTATGCCATGTAGTTTCAGTTAAATATGCTATAAATAAAAAATATCGTGGCAACTATTTCAATAATAATTAGTAATGTAAACATTGACTTGTCAAATATAAACGAAACATCTAAATCATGTTCTTCGTTTTGAATTTCTAATATTTTGTCTTCTTGTTCTTGCTGGTCATGTTCTAAATTCAATGTTTCTGCTGCCGTCTTTTTGTCTTCCGTTGTCAACAAATTTTTGCGACATTTGAATTTACACATTAACAGATGGATCCATTTGGGCATCATTACATTTCTTTTTTTGTAATGGAGATGCAACGAAATAAAATTTCACAACAAAAAGTTAGCACTACATAGAGTTGAAATTTACTAGGAACAAATATTTTCACGCCATCCCGTTCTGGCAAAAATTTTGTAATAAATTTTAGGAAAACTGCCAAGGTTAGAAAAATAGAAATTGGGTAACTGGTTTTCTCTCCACTTTCGCAAGGAACAAAAAAGGTCAACAAGTTCAATGTTGCCAGAATCAGAACTGGGATGATCGCATTATGAAAACACAAGTGACATGACCGTCGGATTTGTACAGTATATGTTATCATCGTATAGTTAAAGGTGTTAATTGCCGACTCGCCTGCAAGAATATCAGAAGATATGTTAAATGGCCATAATTGTGTGGTTGCTTGATTGTGTGTTATCTCCCATTCAGCGATGTTAACATATTCTGATAAATCAATGGTCTCTGACAATGGTTGTATAAATACCTTGTCGTCAGGACTGATGAATTTTCCAAAGACTATATCACATATTTGTACATCGAAAGGATATTTCTTTGTCTTAATTTCACATGCAGTTTCAACGCTAATTTGTGTCCACACAAAAATTTGTCCGTTGTTATATAATCTCACAAAGGCGTCTTTTATGCCAAGTTTACCCGGTTCCCTTAAAGCATTGTATATCATTAAATCAGGTATCCAAATGTTATCGTGAAATGGGAATTCAATGCTTGATATTCCATTACAGTGTGCTGTATCCCAAGTAAGAATTTGATCCGTCCAGTAAAGAAGAAGATTTACAATTGTCGTAAATGCTTGGTTAATTTCATCGACATGCTGAATTTTACGTAATGTAAGTCCTAACGTGACATTAACTTGACTATAGAAATTAGTTACTGGCCTCACGTTGATGTTATAATCCTTGAATAAATGTCTTTTCAAGGGCTTCATCACAAGTAAATTATTTAAGTTTATGTCGTTTGGAAAAATTTCCAAATTTTATTTTGAAGGGGTTTTACTTGACGAGTTCGCTTTTGGAATGTTGACGATTCTACATATTTTGCAGTAGACGAATTAGTAACTGACATTTCATTCAATGTTGTAATATCAGTTGCAAAGTATGACAATTTTGCTTGTCTTAGAATAGAAAGTAAAATCACGAAACGGAAATGTTTACCGATCATATTTCATTCGAGTATAAATAGAATATTAAATAGTAGTAAATGTGTAAGACTCCATGCCAAATTTCAAACTGTTGTCTTTCATATATCCCAATGTTATGATAAGTTGTTCAGACTTAAAGGTTTGCATTTATCCGATAAATACTTCGTGATATTTTGCTTTTGGTATATAATTGACATTTCGATGAATGCTAAGTGATTTGACTTTACTTTTTGCCGTGAATTATTTAAAAGCCAATAACGATTGAATATTACGCAAAGCACAAAACGCACAAACAACATCATTATAAAAGTATCATGGGAATATATATGAGCAAAAACCGTGAAAGGTTTTAAGATAGTTTCCATTATGTTAATGACTTACATCTGCAAATGTGTTTCAATAAAGCTTGATGGTCCCTAATGATTTATGTGATAACATTAGCCAGACGCACATAAATATTTTAATTGATATTTCAAATAACTGTATTTATCTACACAATTTACTGTAAATTATTCAAGGGAATATACCGCATTTGACATTTCAGATAAATAATATTTTATTGATACATATCTATTATATCGAGTTGTGCCGATGGCATTTTGTCTTTTTATGACATTGAGTTTCAAAGGTTATACATTGAACAATTTAATTCTTGTAGATTCCAAATATTGTCAAAGCCAATAATCAAATTAATAATTATATGGTTAAGAAAATTAATCTCAAAAAGACCCCCAGGTACCTCATTAAAACATTTTTATTTGTTTTGGTCGTTAGACCAAACAAATACTGGTAGCAAAATTTCAGACCCTGATGATCTAATTTGCAAAAACCGAAAGTAGTTAAAGCGGTTAATTCCCTTTATATGTACACTAACGTCGAAAATGACAGGCGCATTAATTTTCAAGCTTTCTCGAGGGAAAAAAATAGTTCCCGAATGGTCGAAGATTTCTAATATTGTGTTATTCTTTATAGATATACATGCTTATATTAAGCTCCATGAATATTTGCATAAACAACAGGTGTACCGTGAACAAAATATATCGAAATTAATAAGGGTTACGAACCCTTATTTAGAATAATATGGTTTTCTTCTTGCCGTTAACTTAAAACTTCACCGTGGTCGAGGGGATTACACGCAGGAATTTTGTTTTTAAAATTGTTTAAGTCAAATAAACATTGAATTGAATGTCACTGTTGCAATTAGTCTTATAGCTAATTTGCTACAGTTAAAACACTGGAAACAGCATTGGTGGTACTATACAAAAACAAATTGGTTTATAATCTCACAACCTTCACCTTTCTGACATTCTGAGACCCAAACAAATTCAGCGCCTTCTGTGCTTTGACTTTTTCTTGTCATATGCTTATAAAGGATTAAAAAAACACTAATATCTTAATCTTGTAATTCACCTGTACAGAACAGTTACCCGTATATACCGTACTAGAAACCGGTCTGCATAGTATTTATATACTACGACGGCGACTACAAAATATTTTATTTTTATTACACGTATTATTTATTACCTTTGTCTATATTTGTGCTGTTTTGACATATAAAGTTATGGAAATATACTTATTTAGAGGCGCTTCAATTAAAAAATTTCATTATTGCTATTCTCTTTAAATCAGTGGTACATGTACGTCAAAAAGATTGTAATACAGCTACATCGAGAAATAGGAAAAACGAGAAGCAAAGATAAAAGATACATGTAGGTGTTTTTTTGATCTACTTGTCGAAAAATTCATTGAGCCAATAAAATTAGCAAGAATTATCAGCATACCATTTATCATCCAACACAGATGTTGCAATACAATAATTACCGCGTGTCACTTAATATTTTTTTAAAACAAAATGAGCTACCAGTAAGGTACAGTATGAAGCTGTACATTTGTTCTATTTCCGGTAACAAAAAATGTTGTCATTGGAACGTTTTACAATAGAGAGAAATAAAAAAATCCCTAAAGAAAGTTAAACACGACAAAATTGAAAAATGTTGCAGGCTCGGTTTGATTGAGCCTGTTCATGGACGATAATGGAAAATGCAAAATTACTCCATAGTCAAGAGAAAAGTGTAATTTTGCTCTCCTAACAAGATATCAGCAATTTACAATGTATATACATTGCAGTTTGACATTATGACAAGTCTTCAATGTAAAAACACCGAATACACCAAACGCACACTTATCATATTTTATTTATCAATTTCCACGCTACCTTAGGTAACTCACTTTTTCTTGATTATGCTAATTAAAAATAAAATTGAACCTTCTTGTCAGTGTATTTGTTAGTAAGTTTCATATCTTAGTACAAATCTATGTTTTTGTCATGTAAAGAAGAAAAAAGAAAAGAAAACCAACGACTGATGTTAGAAAAATGTATTACAGCTATCGTCACAAATGAAAAACTATTAAAATAACTTGTGAGATAACATTAAATTATTTTCCTTGTTTAATATACATTTAAATCAAATATTGTGTTATCTTTGTAATGATTGTATTCTCATTTTCAAAAGACTTTTGAGATTATTATTCATAGGGCGTTGAATTCGATTCTTCGTCTGCATCTGAAAATTAAAAAAATAAAACATAAGAAAACGTCAACACTATTACATTTATCTGTCACAAGCAACCATCAGTTTTACCTTCAATCATTTATACCCTCATTTCCCTCATTGTAATCATCAGCTATCATAAAATTATGATTTTGAGTTATCATCCACATCATCATCATCATACTCATCGTCATAATCACCGTCGTCGTCATATTCGTCGTCGCATTTGTGAACATCTCCCAACATTACCAGTAATTGACGTCATTGCTATCAGATAAACGAAGCTGTTCTTTACAATATGTAATGTTTTGCAAATTTTAGAAAACAAAACACTTTTGGAGTAACGATTAAATCATAAAAAACATGTTAAGAAACAAAGCAAGAAATGCTTTACGTTACCTCGCAAAAATTTGAAACTGCACATTGTTACATCTGTACTTAAGCTTTACGTTACCACGCAAATATTCGAAACTGCGCATTGTTACATCTGTACTAAAGCTTTAGGCAGCACACCACACTAAAATGGATATAGTGACTATTGTAGATGTAAATGACTGGTTGTCTTTATAGTGCATTTTCAGCATGGAATTTGTTTTTGTGACATGTAATATGATCATTGGCAAATTCGAAAACATGGTTAGAAATCACATGCTGTTAATTATAGATGTCAAGGCCGCAATTGTTTGTAAACAGCATGCTCGGTGAAAACAAGTAATTTTACAGAGGGTACAAACTTTCAGCAATAGCAAAAAAATTTACAAGGCCAAGCACCTATTTCTTTGTTATATTTTGCATGTACGAGGGGTGATCAAGAATTACGTAGACTGGTTCAATATCTTTGAAACGGACCCATATAAAATATTTTTATTTATATCACTGTCGTGACCTATCTCTTTGCCATTTACAAGGAGCTGTAAATCAGTCATGCATTACTCAGAGCAGAATAACTAGCATAATTGTAACTATAGTAACGCGTTACCGGCCCAGGTGCTATTTTTATATATAATTGCTTTATTCAATGCATTATAGTTTCGACACTGTTTATCAAAATAACAGAAAAATGCGGGAATATGTTTTCGGACGTTTGTATGACGTCGCATAAAAATTTGACGTCATTTGACGTTAGATAAGGAAAATAAACAACGTTTAAACCATAGTAGTCCGTTACGCAGCTACGTTAAAAATGACATCACAAGAACGCCTTGAATTGCGTGCCAACATAAAGTTCTGCATGGAATTAGGTGAAACGCCTACAGACACATATAAAAAGCTGCAGAGGACCAGAGGAGAGAATGCTGTTTCTCGAGCACTCGTTTTTAAGTGGTTCCGGCGATTCTCTGAAGGGCGGAAGTCACTTGAAGATGATGAAGGGCGTGGAAGAAGGTCGAGCGTCAAGCCGTCAGATGTGACGTCAATTGAAGATATTATCAAGGAGGACGCAAGAGTCGCCGTTCGAGAGATATCAGAAGTAACTGGGATGAGCTATGGAACCACGCACACAATTATCTGTACCCCGTGTATTTGCAGGTATTTTTTGCCAGAGGGACGAAACATATTGTTTTGGGTCTCGGACCACTGTTGAGTTTTGGCTTTTACGGAATGTATTTTAATTTTCACTGATTTCATTATAGATTTGCAATGTTATGACATATATGTTCTTAACAAAATGTGTTTTCTTTTTCCAGGTTGTGTAGTTTGGGATCAGATTTATCAAAAATATTGCTTGTAAGACATTGACGGCAGAAACTTGAAATTAAGTGTGGAGTGCTACCTTACGTTACCTTGCAACGATTTGAAACTGCGCATTGTTACATCGGTACTAAAGCTTTACATTACCTCGCAAAGATTCGAAACTGCGCATTGTTACATCTGTACTAAAGCTTTACGTGACTTCGCAAAAATTCGAGTCTGCGCATTATTAGTTCTGTACTAAAGCTTTACATTACCTCGCAAAGATTCGAAACTGCGCTATATTACATTTGTACTAAAGCTTTACAATACCTCGCAAAGATTCGAAACTGCGCATTGTAACATCTGTTCTTTCACCACCTGCATCATCAGATTTATCGGTGAACCCTGAGTCACTGGTCAGGTTGCTGATCTTGCTAATTTTCCTGGTTTTAACATTGTTGTCTTCAATTATATAACATAATGCTTTAAAGTAAATATCGTTAACATGATTACATGATTATGTAACAATGAAACACCGGTATATTTGATGGCATTTAAATCTTTATTGTACAAGTACATGTTTATTTTACATGATATATACAGTGTACTCCTCTAAAAATTTCTTTACTGTGGGAAAATATATTCAGAATATGAAAAAATAGCAAATTCAATTTCAATAGTTATATCTCATTTATGGTACCAGATGTTTAATTGAGAATTTTTCAAAATGCATCTAAACTTTTTATTATTTATTACTATAAAATAAATAACTTTATTATATTCTTCACATAAATACAAACAATAACAAAAGTTCAATACTATGTTTGAAAAAACTTGACGACTAAAGTTAAATTTTAAAACTAAAACAGTTTAAAACATAAGAAACACAATCAAAGAAAACATATCTGTTGTTTTTAATTGCTATTAAAACAGGTATCTGAAAGTTTCGATGGAACAGTTCAGAATAACTATCATATGTTGTCATTTATCAAGGATCATCGATTTATTTTACAACAACAATTATCTAGATACAGTGCAAAATAAGGATGTTTAGCAACCGGATTTGAAAATACAAACATTTAAAGTGGTAAAGGTACCATATTTTCTCTAACTCTACACTAAAATTTACATAAAATACTATAAATATTTCTTAATTAAAGATTATTCCAGAAAAAGAAAACCGTAATCTGACCTAACAAAAAGAAGAAAAAGGTGCACAAATTGAAAAAATAAGTTTGCCCCTAGTTGGGCTTGAATCCCGCCCCTTGAAAAAGACGGTTTCCTTACTGAAAAAGAAACTCTTCAGAAAAGAGGTTCTGTATTAGGAATGTAATACCCTATTTCATTTCGTTGCATAAATGATAGATTCTACAGTTTTCCAGCTCTGGTAACAAGGAATGGCGTGTTTGATAAAATAGATCTAAACTACGGTTAATAAAGATTTCGCAAATATGAATTAAAATAGAGTTATACATGTCCCTAAATGAGTCAACAATTAATAGAAGCTATTCTGTTGTTTTAAACTATAGGTCTACATTTGAGTCTACACAGATTTTATTCTATTTCGGGATTGGAAGCGAGACAACTCCGTATAAACAAGTAGGTGTCAGGTAGTCAGAGTAAGTAAAAGTTTGAAGTCCAAGTGAACAGTCTAAAGACAGTTTGAATAACCTTTTAGAAAAGATTTGTATTTGGAAACAGTATCGTATTGTTTAAAATATGAAAGAGTAATATGACTAGTTTTTTAAAAAAATATATATATCTTATGACATACAACAGTACATGAAAGGAGCTGTAAATGTTGAAAACATTACATATTTGTTAAATATTTAAACAAGTAATGATAACATAATTTTTTTTTAACATCACCAATGTATTGCACTTCAAAAAAATATATTGATAAATCAAAATTATGTTTTATGGCCAGTATTTTTTATGATTTTATGATATTTTAGAATCTGTATGTGTGTTTGTATTAGGACCTTTAACAGAGATATCTACAAGAGTTCTAGAGAGTTCAGCTCTATCACACGTTTTTTCTAAGTCACACGTTTCACCTGCTTCCGGTATTTCAACAGGTGTAAACTGGTTGTCAATAAGCGGCGCATCTGAAAACGCAATTCGTTTTCCAATTTTAGCAACATCTTTATCGTTTGTTTCAGTATTAACCCCATTATGATCTACCGACATTATTTTCTTTGAGTATTCAGCGGGTGGGGGAACAATGCCATTTTTAAGGTTTTTCTCTTTCACAATGTCGTCTGCTGTTACAGGTTTGATGCCTGAAATATCTTCTGTGCAGTTGTAAAGTTTGGTTCGGGATTCCCGAACTGATATTAAACTGTTTTGGTTTATGTCTTCATTTTCAGTTTCTTTGGATTTTTCATCAACATATGCCGGATCAATTCCCGTCAACCACCATGTTAGCATTTCACCTTTACCCTAAAATTAAGGAAACAGTTACATAGTATATTATATCTATTTATGTCTAAAATGGCTTTAACTAGCAATTATTACATTTTCTGTTAAACTTGACGTTAAGAAATATAGGTAGCCACCTAGCTGTTACGCTCTGAACATTGTTTCAGGATGCTGATTATTTGTGCCAAATTATTATAAAACATTTCCAAATGAACAAGTTATGGCGTTCATACCAAATGTTGACTTTTGAAATTTAAGTATGTCGTTGTTCTTATTGGTAGCGATTGTTTTTGTTTTTGTTGGCGCTCTACACATCACGGTATATTTGTTATCGTTTGTACAAAGCTTATAAAAAATTCTGCTGCTTAAAGTTACTGAGCAATAACGAAATGGTTTTGCAACAGGGGATTATGAATTAGATTTATTAATGATTTCAAAAGTCTTATATTGCATGATATTGATCATAGCTAAAACTTCTAGATAATAAATCTTATTGTACATTTAACCTTTAAATCCTAAAACATGAAGAAGAATGAAGACATAGATCTAGACACAAAACACTCATTATTTTATTCAGTTTTATGCAGTACATTTCTGGTTCAGCATGCCTAATGGTTACAGTACTGTACGAGCAACGTTATCGTGAAGTACCAGCTTCTTAAAGATGATGGTGCATAGCATACTTATATAATATAATTTTAGTGTCTTTAATTTGTATCTATACTTGCCTTTACAGGAATGGTTCCTCGTTTTTCTAGCAAATATTTGCCAAACTGAACCAATTCTACGTAAGTGAAATTACTTATATGTATCTTGTATGCTAAAATGAAAACATAGAAATATTCGATCATTGTGTTAAAAAAGGTTCAAAATTAAAAAAGAAGCAGCAACAACAAAAAAGAAGAAAAAGAACAAGTACAGGTGAATGATGACGTTATAACTTTACAGCAAACGAATCGTTTTATCTTGATAACATTCAAATCTAAGGATACATTTTGTTGTCACTGGGACTGAACTCTGAAAATCTTTTTTCGTATATGTATTCATACATGTTTAACAAAATCCTATAATTATATATCCATCTTTTACTTTTCCGATGATTTTGCATTTGTTTTAATATTTACTTTTGATAGTATCATAGATGTGTTTTATAATATGAAGTGTACATTTCAAGACTTTACATCTCGTTTCAACACTTTTGTATTGCTTTTTCGCAAATGTAAATGTATCACAACCACAAAGGATTTGACATAAGAGTTTTTTTATCCAGTATATATGTCTGGTAAAAGTGTACCGTATAACTAACACATCGTCTATTTTTTGAAGTAAGATGTAGTTTAATTTAGAAAAAAACTTACATGGACATTAATAAAAATTGATAGATTATATATTCTTAAGAGCGGAAAAAGAAATGAAAGTCAAAGAAATAAAATGTATAGTTTACCTTCACCGTTAGATTCCATTCGGCTTGCAGTGTTGACAGTATCCCCAAATAAACAATACCTGGGCATTTTCAGGCCAACTACGCCAGCGCATGCAGATCCTGCAAATGATAATAATTAACACTATTTAATTGATGTAGTAAAATGTTATAAATGTCAGTATTGATGTAGTCAGTGCGCTACGAAACCTTTTATAATATCATCTAAGCCGGTGCCAGGGAGGCTAGGGGTCGAGAGATGTTGCATTTTCTATCCTGTCTCGTGTATAGTCTCAATTTAACACATTCTGCCATTTTTAACTTTTATTTTTTTTGTTTTTCATATCTCCTGGGGATCTCTTTTCCATTTTTAGTAACCTTTTTTAAGACTAATTTTCAACCAAATCAACGATATCATTACATTGTTTTAATGTCGTAATATGTTTGTCTTCAGATTACATTGCAATTATAGTCTACAATCAAAGGGTTAGGATAAGTCTACCCCAAAACAGAACTGAACAATAAAAGTCTCGAATGTTCGCCATATATTATCTATTACAAATATGAATGTGTTAAATTATATGATAAAGAAACGTTATCTGTTGAAACTAGTGCTATAAAAATTGGTATTCAAACAAAGGTCTCGAAATCAGACAATATCTGTTGTTGTTGTTGTTGTTTTTTAAGTTAATTTATCGACATGTATATCACAGTGACATTGTAAAGTTTATTTTACAAAATTAACATCAAATAATGGAAAGTAATTATATTTAATTTCTTTAATATTCTATGATATGAGCTTACCGGAATGTAATCCTACTCTTATTTTGAGAGGCTCTCCAGGCATATGAGGGATGGTGAAAATCTCACAAGCTCTGACCAGGTCTATAGACATATCAGCAATCTCTCGTGCATGAAATGGCGTGCTTATAGGTATCCCAGAAACCACCATATCTATTTATAGATATTCATAATACATAACAAACATAAAACATAACGTTATACTTGAAATCAAATGAAAACAAGTAAATAGAAAGTAAAAATTGACTCTGACGACAAAAACCAGTGTTGACACGAGTGTTGTGGAAGGAATTCTTTGTTGAGAAATTTATAATATGTCGCAACAAGCATATATTTCATTTATGAAATAAATTTCTCACAAGCATGCATTTTTATTGTGGTGTTTGCATGCGATTCTTATCACTTTATTGCTCGTGTAACTGATTGGTTTGTGTGTTGTTTCTTCATTTTTTACTTAAAATGGTCACTTTCACTATTGTAAACGTCGCACAATTTGCTTTCCTTTTCAATCTGTTCTCTTTGAAATCATAAGAACAATTGTAAATTGTTGAGTTATTTTACTTTTACTTATATTTCAAAAACACCTAATGTGTTAGCTAACATATGTTAACTAAAAGGTTGACATGAAAATGGCGTACATGCGTCTCCTATAGTTTCCACCTTGTATACGTCATATTTGTCGATGATTTCGTCAAAAGTGATGTATAATTTATTCAACAATGCTACAACTTCCAGCGCTGTACTACCTCCTGATATATTCGTAAAACCAACAATGTCACTGAAGAAGAAACTTGCCAGTTTTAACGACTATAAATTACTATAATATTAACAGAAAGGAAAACGAGGGATACAAACAAAGCTTGGTGTTAATTTGAGATCAAGTATGCTGTGTTGAACTGGTTTGTATCATAGTTTGGGGACTTTTCTGTTGAAAATGTGTCAGAGTTAAATCGTATACATATACATGCACAGTGCGTTAACTGGAGTGCAGGTATTATTTACCCGCACTGCAGAGCATGCCCATTAATTGGCTCATTTTTGCTGGGGATTACTTATTGTGACGGCAGAGAAAGTTAGCGATAGAAATATCATATTCAGATGCTTGTTCAGTGGTGATTTTTATCTGGGGTTTCATCAGGGAATGTGTTTTATGTTGACTATGATACAAAAGAGAAAGAACATCGAAACACTCGGCAATCTGATTAACACTCGGGGGCTACGCCCCCTCGTACAAATCAGATAGCCTCGTGTTTCGATGCTTTTTCTATTTCTTGGAATTCCGATACTTAAGAAAACAAAATTAAAAGCTCGAAAGCATGAATCATTATGGCTAAATTCTTCGCAACAAAAACAAATGAAAGACTTTCCAGCTGTAGTGGTGGAGCCCATCAGTGCATTAGTTCAGACACGAGCGGGTACCTAAGTATAACCACCAACGTTCCGTAAGCTAGTTGCATCTGCACCACATAATAATTATGCACGATAACTTTTTACACTTACATCAAATATTGCGCCTGCTACCTAAATGGCTATTAACTTGAGATTCTTCTCACTTTTTTGTTCTTTTAGACATGAGAGACGGTTCTAAAAGGTCTAATGACATTTTTCCTTTTTTGTTTAAAAATTTATGACCATAATAATTAAAATACAATCATTTAAATTGAAAGAAGAAACATTATGAGCCAATTTATGACAAAACCAACATAATGTGTTTGCGACCAGAATGGATCCAGACCAGCCTGCGCATCCGCGTAATCTGATCAGGCCTACAAACCCTATTACAAGTAAGAAACTGATAGTAAACAGCATGGATCCTGATCAGACTCTGCGCGGATGCTGGTCTAGATCCATGCTGGTCGCAAACGCATAATGTTGGTTTTGTCCTGGCGCAGCTCATATTTGCTTCATGAGAGATTATTATAATATTTGATATTATAATAAGTTTATGATCTTTACCTAAAATATATTGTACATCCGTCATGATATTTTGCCTCCACAGGACGACCATGCCGGAGATCGTCTGCTACTGCCTTTGGTAACATACCTGCAACATAATTAAACTCTCATATGTAATTTATTTGGTGAAATGTTGTAGCAACATTTTAAAAATGTATAAAAATAATACATTTAATATTTACATTTTTTGGGGATTATAAGCGTAATAATGGTCTTATGTATTCGAGTAAAATCGTTTACATCCCAATTTTCAAAAAGAATCACATTATAGAAACGATAACTGTTAAACTCTTTAACTTAAGTGTTCCAATATGACAGAATGCGAGAATGTTTGTAAAGGAAAATTCTTTTAAACTGTTAGCAAGACGAGAAGATCAAAACATTGTAAAATTGGGCAACATGTGTAAATTAAACATTAAAAGATGGGCACAAATTACGTTTAAAGTTGACTGACTAAGGAGTCTGTCTGTTTTGGCTTTCTCTGCAACAAGGTCTTGTGTTCGATCCGCAACTATTGCTTCCAAATGTTTTGAGTACTTTTCCATCTATAACCATTATGCATGGAATAAATGAAAAAAAAAACATGTATATATCAATAAAGACATATATAGACTCGGTCGTTTCCTTTTCAATTAGAAAAACCCAATGCCGATCATTAAATATCCTCAACTGTTGTAAATCTGAGATATGGATGTTCCCAGCCTAGTGTAGAATTTTGTACCTAATTTTATTTGTATTGCTTGTTATTCTTTTCAATTATTCTTATTGTTATTGTTTATCTTGGATATTCTTGCACACAACTGGGCGTTTCTCATACTCTTCACCGCTACGCTGCGTTAAAGAGTGTGTTACTTTAAAGACGAAGTTTAAATTTAAAATTATGCCATTAACGGACTTATTTAGTAAAAGCAAACAATTTTCCCAAAAAGTAAAACAGATGAAACCAGTTTAAACATAACTCACCATTGCCATCATCAAATCTACTGGACTAAGTTTGTTTGGGTTGATCTTGTGTATTGTCTTCTTAATCTCGTCAAATGTTGGGCGATAATCAGGTACAGTATCCCAACATTCACTCAATAACTGTTATAAACAAAATGTAATACGTGTACTCGTATTTGTTTAAATTTTCAGCAATATAAGAGGTCTAATACTACTATTGTTTATAATGGAAAAGGGAAAACTCATTTCATTAATATTAAGCTATCTTGCACATTGTATTTGAAAATGCAAAATGATGATTGTGCCTGAACATGGACGGCACTGTCAGGTATAACCTACCGTCCATACCACCTAGCAACGTCTTAACTAGCATTTATTATTTAAATGTGGAATGGTTAATTTTTTATATGTTTTATATTCTGTTTTTTTTTAAATTTATTTACACATATTTTGGACATTATTCCCTGGTTAACAAATGAGAGTTTCTCTGCAAGTGACCTACTACTTATCCCTTATAATGTTTGAATCAGCGGTGACACACTATTTGTCCGAGATTAATTTCACAAACAAAGTACGTCTTGTCCGAGAAACGAGGCCGCAGCACCTGGATTTTAACTCTGATGCTCTCCTAAATGTGCTCAGTGGCTAGAATTTTAAATTTTGAAATATCCGTAGATGTGTTGACACGGTGGTTATCATGAAACCTTGAATGTGACACGTTTGTGACATTCCATGTAAAGCGCCGCATGGAAAACATAGGCTAAAAGTTTCATACAAACGAAACAAATGCGTAGATAAGCGCATAAAAAGCAATATTTACCTTTGTATAAGCATCGGGGCACGGGCATATGTCGTCCTTACTCTCACACATATCTGGGTCAAAGTCCGGCATTGGAGGTTTCCAACCAGGCTTGACGCTAAATGCATCCTCGTCCTAAAATATTTAAATATTCAATATAAATTTAACAACATTTGAAAGCTTTGTATTATTTGTGATTCAAATATTTATTATAAGTAATTCTTATCATCATTCATTACAAAAAACTAAAGGTACGGGGTGCCCAGGATCGAATTACTCCATGATAATGCACCTGTGCACGGGTCAGCTTTAGTTCAAGCTTATTTAGAGGAGCAGGCAGAGAATTGACTTTTTGCTACACCCCGCTTATAGTCCTTGTGACTTTTGGTTAAATCTGTACATCAAATCTTACCTTCGCGGTCGCGGGTTCGAAACCCGTAGTGCAGTCGGAAAGGCTCTCTACCATTCTAAAAACAGTATAAGATAAAATGCCTTTTCGGAATGAATTCTGAGGCTGGAAAAAGTGTGTAAAGGTCCATGGTGATTATTTTGAATGACTCTAATAATAATTTTTATCTGTTATCTAATCATCAATGACGTCGGCGTAAGAACAATGTATGTCAGCTCTTTATTAATTGGGAAAAAATGAGCTAAAATCTTTTATCAATAATATTAAGACACAATCATGATAAATGTTTTTTCAGTAGAAATATCCTAACCCCATACGGATCATTCCTCGTTGCTATTTCAATTAGAATAATTGCGAACGCGTACACATCCCCGGCCGGTGTCGGTTCGTACGCTTTCTGGTCGAGATATTCCGGCGCCTTGTAGATTTGAGCTCGCTTTTCTTGATAAAACTCATCTTCATCGTCTTCAAAATCATCGTCCTCGTCAGCAAGTGTCACTTCATCGTGGGTTCTCAACGTTTGAATACCAAAATCTAGCATGATATTATAATTACTATAATCAAATTCTCAATATTCTTGAATGTTTTTTGTTGTTGTTTTTAATTGTAAGTTTATTATTTTGTTTGTTTGTTTGTTGTGTTTTTGTTGTTGTTACAGAAGCTGGTTATCATATTTTAAAATGAAAATTTGTGTTTACAACTGATTTAAAGTGATAATGAGTTATTCTAAATTCACGCATAATTAAATTTTGATTCAAAAGGGTTTCATTTTTACCTGTTATTTTTACTGTCCATCTGTCATCAACAACACAATTATTTGACTTTAATCGTCCATGATATACCTTCCGATGGTGCAGATATTGCATACCACGTGATATATCCGCAGCGAATGAAAACCTTCAAAACAGAATCGATTATTACTAAATATATAAGAGCCCCAAACCGTTAAAGCCTTTTTTGAACCAATTTTACCAAATTCATTTAAATTTGAATTTGAAATGAAATATACTAACATTATAATGCCATATAAGTCTATTTTAAGGTAGAAAAATCGCCTTTTGAACGTTTAATGTTGTAACGACGCATTAAGCTAAGAGAATTTTTACGCATACATGCTCAGATCTCACGAAAGGCATAATTTAGCATTTTATTAATGAAGCAATTTTGTTAATTCTTAATGATAGTAGATCTGTTTATAGTTCAAACCATGTATTTTCTGATTCCGTTTGGTGAATTATCGGCGTAAGTTGATTGTTATTGCAGAAAAACGTTACAATGTATAATTATGTTGGCGGCGTCCCTATAATATTTTAAGCTGTTTAGTTGAAATTGAAAAATTATTGTACAGCAACACCGAAAAGAAAATAACATTCACATCTTTTAATTCTCATAGGTTTTTAATGAACTATAAACATGACTGGATAAAAACCGTTTATATCTAATTTATAAGGTCTAACGTCAAAATATTTTCGCATAAAGCTTTCAAGTGGCACAAAATTCAACTTCAAAGCAAACCTTTAATGATTATTATCATTACTTGTTTGCTGAGCAAGAGACATTTCAATTCTCAAAAAACATCACGTGACTGCCACAAATATCTTTCATGAACTTGTTTATTCTATATAGGATAAAAACATATGAATATAACACAAAAGTTAGCCATTTGCAATGACAAAGAATCAAGTATATAATATTTTACCTGAATGCCCAGTTAAGCGGGACATCATCATTTAGAAGAACATCACTCAAACTTCCTTTAGGACAATATTCTGTCAGAATTCGAATATTTGGAGCCATAATACTAGCTCCGATAAATTTACATACATTCACATGGTCGCATGCTCTGAAAAATACAAATAAATTGCGTTTTAAAACTGCCTGTGATAAATTAACAAAATGCACATGACCAACATGATCCACAAAATACGAACCATTGCCATTTTTAACTACATTGATGTACCGATTCATAAATTTACCCAATCCATTGTCACATGGTCCAAAAATGCGAATATTTCATTGGGTACTATAATACTAGCTCCGTTAAATTTTCAAACATTCACACAAAGACATGTTCTTTGAAAAATGCGAAATTTTGGGCCAAAATAATATCTCGTATACAAAAAACGTTGAACATCACGTGTTCATGTTTTAAGAATGTTTATCAGTAATTAAACGCAAATGAATTTTATAGTAAATCATAAAAACGTTCCAAAACAAAAGATTCGTCTGGCAGAGTTAGCAATGATTTTCTTCCCTTATATACTCGCTTATTGTAAATTTACATTTCTTTCAATTTAACGGTCGTTACATTCAAAATTCAATATATAAAAGAAAACTAACCTGACTTCCCTGACTTCTAGACGAACAAATTTTGTCAATGAAAATTCTACTTTTCTTACTGCTCGCATTGCACAGGTTCTGCCTTGACTAAAATAAAAGGTATTTATAAAGAATCTGGAAAAATGGTGATCCCTAGGAAGCATAAATCACAACAAAATTACATGAAAATTGCAAACCCGGTTCGATTGAGTCTGTACATGGGAGATGTAAAAGTGTAAAAGTACTCAATTTTCAACAATTTAAAGTGCTGGAATAAAGAAAATATGAAGAAAAAAAATAAATGAAAGAAAGATATATTGGTATTTAATTCATGAACAAACAATATGACTGTAATGTGCCCTCCTCTTGAATAATGTATCAATATAAGGCCAATAATCAACGTGTTTCACTACTCTTTTCGCTATAAATTTTAAACATGCAAAAATAGAACAAAAATAAAGCTAAGGGACAAGCTGTTAAACTGAGCCTGCAATTTCGTGAAAATAATATCACAGTACACATGCTTTTTACATAAAGTTATTAAATACAAATATAACAACATATTTGTTTACTTGATTTTTACGAATCAAAATAAAACTTATTAACACAACTTGAAATTAACTGCTTATAATAACAGCTCCTTCCATATGCCAAAATAAAAAGCATTCCATAGGAGACGACGCCGCTCACCAGCGTCGCCAATCAAGTCAATGTTTGCGACACGCTCAACACATAACAGCAGGAACGATACACAAGACAACTTGAATGCATGAAAACAACAGGAGTGTTTCCATTAATCTGTAGTACCTCTACTTCTTCAAGTTAAATGCCTTTATCACTAAACATGACAAAATTACTGTTTGTTGGGCCTTTAACCTTGACCTTTCGCATCTTTCCTCCACAACATGGCAACTGCACATGTATAACATCTTCTTAAAAATACATTTTAATTAATAGAAAATATTTCACATTTATAAATCATATAACAGAGAGACTGTAACTTACTATAACGCCGTTTTAACAAAGACTTGTCTCCGAGCTGCAGACTGAGCAAGACTTGTGTTTCCATCACTGTTACCGGAAGTGCTCAAATCCATAGTACTCCCTATCATACTGCCAAATGCTGCACGCAATCCGTCATCTGAAATTTGATTCAAAACATTTTTCAGTATCCGAAAGTGTTCGACTACTTCAGGCGCATGCCTTCTTGTGCATGGAACATTACCTTAATCTTGCATGTATCAAAATAAGTTTATATAATAATGTGAAATAGGCAGGGGGAGACAAATAAACAAACTTGAAATCAAAGGGCTAAGTAAGCAAATATACAGTCACGGTTCGGGTCTTTGATTTTCCCGTAAAAAATGAAATGTTTGAAACGTTTGAAATATTATCTTAAAAATGAAAATATATGAACAGAACATAGTCTTTCCTTAAATCAATTTATGAAATCTGTCTTTTGTTTTATTATGATGACATAATTTATTTAATCATCGTTAGGCTAAGCTAAGATTATAAGAATTATATAACACATGTATAGTAACAGGGAATTATTTAATCAAAACTGTTTTATAATCTAAAGTACATGTTCAGTGCAACCTCTACAGAGAGGCCCCTTTGTAGAGCATAACAACAATATCAATTCTTTCTAAAGTAATACTTCATAATTAACCGAGCATCTCAAAAGCAAAACCTCTCACCAGCGACCAAGATCTTTGCCTTCCAAAGGGTGTCACAAAACAGAGGTTTATGCTGGAATGAAAATAGATGCAAACAAAAATTGTGGTGAGCTCTTACCTTGCTTTATTTCTTCAAATGGTATAATCCAACTTTCATCCCACAGCATTTTTCTTTTTTGGTATTGGAAATACTGTGTGAACATAATTTCGAAATTATTCAAATTTTACTCTTTTCACGGAAAAATTATATTTAAACATGTTTTAAACTAACGTTACGAAATATGCTTGACATAAGATTAAAAAGATATTTTTTTGTCGATATTTATATTTAAGAAAAAAATATGTATCATTCATATTAAAGGTGTACATTTCCAGTGAAACTTATGATTTCAATAACAAATAGGTTAGGCTCGGCACGTGACCAACTTGGATTTTTTTTCTTTTCTTTTTTTTGGTTATGCTCATATTTCGTTTGATGGTAGTAACATAGTATTTATACAGCTTGACAATGCATGTTAGCTAAAAGAGGAGAAGAGTTTCTGTGATATCAAGCTATGCAGTAGTCCGAAAATTTGTTATTATCATCTTTTTTGCCAAACTCATCCCACCTGGTCTGTTCTATCATGTGTCACCTATCTATTACAATTCAATCACCCAAAGAAGATAAAAAAGGTCAGGCTACGCAATGGTTAAAATCAAGCCAATATTTAAGATGATAACATTAAATAGGGTTGGAAATTAAGAATCAAAAGTTACAAACCTAATCATAATTTTTAATTACTTTTCTTTCAGTAGTAGATGCAATTAAGTTACAGTCAGTGACTTAAAGGGACTCCACTGAGGTTTTTAGACATGATAGGACTAGGTTTTCTTTTGAGATTGATGTTCCATTTTATTTAGGACTAGACCAATATCTTGAGTTTAAAATTTCAGATCATTCTCTCCCTCCTTTTTTTCAAAATAATTTTTATACCTGTCGAAAATGACCCAAAATTGAAAAGCGTTCCATAGCTTTAAACCTAAACCGGGATAAGAGGTGCAACAAAAATACAATTTTCAATTAACTTTTGAGCATATTTCTTAATTGCCTTCGCATATCTTTATGTTTTTAAGTGCCCAAACTGTTCTAAGTAAGAAATTCAATTTTTATGTCTTTATGCTTTTAAACCTCAATGGAGTTCCTTTAATTCGAATTCATTTGCAATGAGATAAACCTAATATGATTTTTAGTAAATTCATAGTTTGCAGATTTGTGTCGTCGCATGTCTTTAAACAATGTTATTATTACATATATCATATTTATGCTATCCGTATTAATGATATTAAATATATAATCAAATGATATTAGACCACGCTTGCTCCGAATTGACCAATCACGGCTCATTATTTCCGTTGAATATATCGTATAGACAACGCTAAACCGTTGTCTATTTTACACGATTTATGCTATCCATACTTAAATAAAATGAAAATAACTGTTTATAGTCGCCACCTTGTCCGTCTGTGCGTCCGTTGTCTTGTCCGGAACATAACTTGAAAACCTTGGAGATAATTTGTTTAAACTTCATACAGTGGTAGAGGGCATTGAGGGGGTGTGCAGTGTCAAAGAACCATAACTCTATTTTCCCGGTTTTTAAATTATCTTCCCTTTTAGAAAAATATTGTCCGGGACATAACTCTTAAACTATAAGAGATATCAACATGAAACTTTGTAGGTAGATGCACAAAAATCATAACTCTGCCTTGACTAATTTTGGAGTTATTGCCCTTTGCTTATTTTTACTTTTTGAACTTTGTCTGGGACATTACTCTAAAATTATAAGAGATATCAACATGAAACTTTGTAGGTAGATAGATCTCATTGAGTAAAAGTACAGTACAAGGTTGTAGGTTGATAGAGATCACATTTATTAGAAGTGCAGTGCAAAGATCAGTAACTTTGCCTTGCCTAATTTAGGAATAATTGCACTTTGAACTTTTTCCAGGGACATATAACAGGTGTACTTTCCTGTGTCCAAAACCTATTCGGGGAGCATCACCCGGCTCAAACCGGGCTCTTGTTTATAATGGTGTTCAAAAATCATATTAAAACGTCGATAGCATTTGAATACATTTACAATCAACAACGGTTTTATAACACATTTGTCATTGTTAAAACTTTTTCAATAATCCCCTATCCATGAAACATTAATAATTTTGCATACAAAATGTCCATTTCACTTTATAATGAAGCTACGTTGTTATTTGTACTTGAAACGTGACACTGTTAAAAGTTATAAATGAGAATCGATTAGAATAAAATGCTTCATATGCAACATCTTGCAGGAAGTTTAAAAAATAACCTTTACATATGATATTTTATATAACAAATTACTCCATTGCGTGGTCTAAAATCAGACCAATGTACACTAATATATTTTATTACGTTTTGAGAGCGTTTGGTAACTTTGGATTGTCTATCAGTAGGCGCATTAATATTCAACTCGACTGGAACGGTTCCTACATGTTTAATATTTTTGTAAATGAGACCGCTTGATTTGTTCAATCAAATAACTGTCGATTGATTCTTCTCGATTTTTACTATATTTAGCTCCCCTGCCAAAAATGGCGGCAAATTTGGATGTCACAATTCAATTAACAAAACAAAACCGACAAGTCATAAATGATTTTTAAAAATGTGAAAATAAACATTATTATAGTTCTAATATCACAACTATTTCTGCTCAGAATCTCAGATAAAGACGATATAACAAGAGTGAGTTTTATCTTATCTTTGACATAGATATTTATTGATATTGGAATTAGTTACTATAGTAGGTACATTGTAGTACATGCAATGAAAAGCAGCAAAAATGTTGTTTGAGCTAAATTACCCTTTCCTCTTACATACATACATGCAATAAATAAATTTGAATCCATGTTTGAATGAATGAATAAATCGATCCATCGACCGACCGATCGATCGATCAATCAATCAATCAATATAAATAAAAGGTATTTTTCATTCATAGTCCCCCTATGAGCAAACTGGATACATGTAATTAATTATCGCATGGTTTGGAACCTTTCCTTTGTTCTTACAAACCCATTATACTCAGTACACTTCAATGAGCATTTCAAAACTGTATTGATATATAACAGTACAGTTTTTTCATTGATTCATATAGGAAAAAAACTCGACTGTTATATATCGGTCGAGTTTTTTTTCGCACCTTGTATATATCAATGCAGTTTTTTTTCACAGAGGCTCCAATGGGGACAGTGGTAACGACCATTCCCAGTAGAAAAAAAAATTAAATCAATATAATAAAATAAATATATAAATACAATGAAAAATATAAACAAAGATAATTAATGAAATGAAATTTACTCTTATTTAATCAAAAGGCACATCCGCTGAATGAATTATTTCCACTGAAAAAAGGCCCTTTAATCTTGAATCAATCTTGATATCAGTTTACAATCCGCCTCTAACATTGGATGTCTTTTGTATATATATATATATTTTTTTGCGGCAGCGAAAGCAACTTGAAAAAACTGCCCTATCATAAATAACTGTAATGTAGCTAACGATTTATTCATTTATTTGTTTCTATTACAAAAAAGAAAACATTATGTCATTGCGATAAAACAGTTATAGTATATGAAACTCGTTAGTTACGGGGGTATAACACTGGCTGGGGCGACATCTCGGGATGTTTCTGCAAAAAAAATTGTCTCGGCCTAACGGTCTCGCCATTTTTTAGCAGAAACACCCCTTGATGTCGCCCAAGCCAGTGTTATATCCTCGTAACTAACTCGTTTCATGTACTATAACTATTACATAACGAGATACAAAAGCTTGATATGCGTGGAAGAAAATATCCGGTTGTCTGAATCGTAAAAAATACAAAAACAAAAACACTTCCACAAGTGTCTTTTATGTATTTAATTATTTCGTTGTGTTTTTCAAGCCTAACTAAATCACTACAATTTTCAGACAGACAATAAAAGCCTGTTAAAACCCGATCACGGGTCATAGCATTAGATGCTAAATAATGTTGTGTTTACAAAACAACAGGTGGGGCAACTAATAATCCAATATTTATACAAACATTAATCTATTGATCTTTATAATGACAGACACATGTTATCAATTGTCTTCTGTCACTAATTACATGTGACTATCGAACTAAGAGACATTTTGTACGCTGTTTTTACATAAAGCTCATGTCAGTTGGTCCTGAGTGCGGAAGTATTTCCTGAGACAATACGTTTCATTAACGCTTGTTAATGGGTTACTCGGTGAGAATTTTCCTGTCCGTAGAAATACAATATATTGGTAACATGTATCAGTTTTATTCTCGTGTATTTATTTATAAAATATGCACCTATTGTTCTTTAATAGGAAGAATTCTATGTTTATGGGCCTATTGATGCAGCACTATTTCTAGAGTAAAAGCGAATAAGTTATTGAAATAAAAACTGTTTTAGCATAGTTATACACAAAAGAACGCTGCTGCAGTATTTTTGCATAACTTTTTATCAATTGATAAAATATCCACGGCGCATCTGAGATTTAAATAAAACATAATGCGGAACTGGAGAATTTGTTTTGCAGAGCATAATGTGTTTTATCAAAGGGAAATCCGGTCGTTGTTTTGATCGTGACTGCATAAGAACGCGTAAAATGCATCTCTTTTAAGTATATTTGCGGGTAATAATAATTTAGTTAATAAGTGCAATTAATTAAACTTGGGTATAACTAACTTAATTATTTTTAAAAAAAGAAGAAAAAAATGACACTTTATAATTGAATTAGCTACCTACTATTGTATACGAAAAACGGATTAAAGTGCCATGTTTATAAATAATGTACAAAAAGCAAACCAAAATTTTAGTTTTCATTAAAGGGATATACATGTATAAGACTTATTTCATTGGAATAATAATGTAAGTTTCGAAAAAGAAAAAAGGTACAAACAATATCAAGCTGTTTTTCTAAACTTGGGGCTTTAATGTGAGAAGAAAAAATTCTTACCAGAACAACAACTATAATTCCCACTATTACAAGGAAGCCAAATATGCCAATTAAAGCGATCTGCCAAGCTTTAAGGGGACATTTCCCGCAATCCTTCGGACAACTCTCGCAATCTTCGCCTTCATTTTCTTCACACACATCATCTCCACATTCTAAAAAGAGACGCTATATGTATAAGAACAACATGTGCAAAAATTGTTATGACAATACTTTATTAGAGAACAGAATTCGACTGTTATGACAATAATTTATAAGAGAACATGTCAAAACATAACTTAACTGTTATGACAATACTATATTGGAGAACATATCAAAACAAACTTAATTGCTATGACAATAATTTAATGTTCGTACAAAGAATGAATGGCAGTTATAACTTTCATTGACGTCATAGGTTTCTTAATGACATCATGGTTCGTTTTCGACCATGATCACTTTCATATTCTAAAACATCTGATCAGCTTAGGCTTATACTTAAAATATTTCATGTTAACTTGAAAAGAGGTCTTACAGTGACAAAATACAAGTTAATTTTAGAAAAAGGTTCCTTAACTACTCGTAGTTTTAAGGTATTTGGTGTAAAGAGTTGGTCCAAACTTCTTAGAATACATCCTTATCGATCAAACTATCGATAATTTTGTATTATTCCTGTTCGATGTCGTAAAAGAAAATAGTCGGTTTCATTCAGATCAGCAATTTTAAGCATATTTAGTTTCTTCCAATGCGTAATAGAATTAAATGGCCATTCTTTAATGTTTTTTAATACCTATGTTACTATATATAGTAACAAACTCTAGGGTATTTCAGGGCCATTATGGCAAGATCTAGGTCATTATGCAATTTCGGCCGCCTTGCTACTCGGCATTATTTTTCCATAATGGGCGAGTGAATGAGCGCACGTGCAAAATGACGTAATCAACTTTCAGTGACGTTCAAGATGGCTGCTGACGTTGAATGAATTGTAGTCATTTGAACACAAAATTTTAAGTTTAAATGACGTTATCAATCTCAATCAACAAAGCTTAACAAAGAAGATTTATAAACTCAAAACAATAACTCTACCAAAACAAAACATGGCCCTCAGAACTTCCAAAAAATTATTTCAATTTGACGGTAGAAAAAAAGATCGGATGGATGGCAAAAAGAGCAAGACATCGGTCTCGGAAACCGTTCTTGAAGGCGCAAATGACCATAAAAAACTGGCACTAAATGTTATTCTCACAAAAATATATAGAGTATTTATAGATATCAACATTGTCTCATATTATTTTATTTTGTCACGTTTTCAAATGTAATCGAATGACATATGCTTGTTTACATTGAAAACTGTCCGTTTCTTAGAAAGGGCGAGAAACAAGAACAAGAATTTAGACAAGTGGCGATGTCTAAATGCCGTATTTCGGACATAGGTATTAAAGACGGTAATACTTGGTTGTTGCTCGCCATTATGCGATAATGGCCCTCGAGTCCATAATGTCCTTCGGGCCTGCGGCCCTCAGGCCATTATGCACATCTTCGAGCCATTATCGCATAATGTCGAGCAGCAACCAAGTATTAACCTCTAAATACATTCACTGTGATAAAAGAAAATTGAGGTTGGCCCTGATTGTGGCGCCGTTTTTATATGTCGCAACGCCGTTTAATGTCGCACTTGCCGCTAAATGTCGCACCATTGTCGCTAAATGTCGCAACGCCGCTAAATGTCGCACTTGTCGCAAAATGTCGCACCATTGTCGCTGAATGTCGCAATCGCCGCTTTATGTTGCAAATCGTCTGTCGTTAAATGTCGCAATCGTAACGTTAAATGTCGCACGGATTTCACTTCCCGTCAAATGTCGCCACGCTACCGTTAAATGTCGCAGGATGTAAATTCATGTTAAACTAGTTGCATTAAATTTGTCTTATGTTAGTTATATATAAAATTATGTTACTGATCATTAATAAAGCAAATATGAATGAACCTGAAGATAGATTTAATATACTTGGAAGCATATTGTAGAAATATTGGATTGAGATTTTATATTGTATGTCCGCATTTTCCCTAAATCTTCAACTTTATAGGTTTTGAGATATTGTCACTATCAAATTACGAATGACGGTCTAAAAATTTCATTGATGCAAAAATCTGTATACATTTATAATCTAGCACAACTTTTATTGTTTTTACTCGATGGTTACGACTCGTGAAAATATATTGAATTTTATCATATTTCGTGAAAATACATTCCATATATCTTTAAAAAATATCCTCTTAATAGTACGTGTATTTGCCAACAAGGGCATATTTATGTTAGTCGCATTGTGACACGTAGGAGATTGTTCAAATTTAAAAGTTTTTAATGATTCTTATAAACACTTTTTGGTCTAGGTGGTATTTATTTAAAATACTTTGTAGCATACAACACTTGATTATATCGGAAATTATGTAATATACAGGATATGTTTTATTCATTTTCCATTGAATTATTTTCATCAAGATTAAAAATCATGAGATACTGTTTTTTTATAGGTCTATTTTATTCTATATCAATAATGAAATGTACAAAAAAAAATGTAATTGTTAACACAGCAAAAATTGTATATTCAGCGGATGCAATTGAGAATTGAACCTACGTCATACATTTGTTTGAACACTGAAACATGATTTATTATGTATGATACTTTTCTGCAGTTTGTATTGTACCGCCAAACAGTTACTCGGAGATAAACATGTATATGTTATGCCAATCAAATATTTGATTGACTATATTTGTAAATGTTTTCTATTTTCAATGTTTAATCAATAAATGATTTCATATACTAAGGGCATGATAATACTATATAATTTATACAATAATTAGGAGTTGCATGCAGAATTGCGTTATAAGGAATTTTTGATTCTGATTCTTTTGATTTTGAATCTTTGATTTTAATATTCTTAATTAGCAGAAAACATTGAAAACTTTATATAAGGAACTTGAAAAGAACATTATGATATTAATCACTGACATATCAGAAAGCATAATCCAATCGGTATCTACCGGTACCGCATTGCCCTACCGGGGCATTGTAATAAGTGGAGAAGTTGTGACGCTAAAGGCATCCTCCCCTGGCATCACCCGTATATCGCATTTTTATGGAAATACCGCGATTTGGACTCAAACACGTTCCTTAATGACATTATTATATCTTGCGGGCTGATGTTTATACGTAATCAGTGTCAATCATTATGTTATTTGAATGTTGTTACTTTGTTTACTAAATGTGTTTGCTAGTATAACCCAAGCACCCGCTTAAGGTATTTGCAACCAGCAAAGTGTTATGAACTCGTTGAGTGTTAATAAGCTGGTCATTCACCACAGAAGAGCAAGAACAGTCAATTTGAATCGCAAATTAAGTTTTTATACATTTAAAGAAAATATGTTAGAATCGAACACGTAAAGTGTGAACGTTTGAAAAAAAAGAAGCCTTTTTCTCACCAAAGTTACTATGTGACTTGGTCCATATACACTTTGGTTTACAAATTCAATTGGGTCTAGTTATGATGCAATCAATATGTCTGCCAAGGCTTCCATATGTCTGCGACAAGTTCACTCATGAGCAAAAGAAGAGTGATCATAACCATTTTGCCACGACAGTCCCCTCATTTATTTTGAGTAAAACAGAAGCGAAAACTTATTTAATATAAAATGAATAAAATCACATATGTCATCCCTGCCCAAAGCCAGAATTATGCGAGCCATTAATAGTGATTGCAATTAAGTTTTCACAATCGTGACTTTGTTATTTCGAAATTTCACCATTGCACTTCTGACTTTCCATCATCCTACCTTCGGCTTTGTACCATCGTAATTTCGACTTTTCACCATCGTTTTTGTTTCGCGATGACCCTAACGCGACACCGTACGTTTTCATTGAATTACTGCTAGAATTCACCATCGAAATGCGATTGAATCTGGACGTGTGGCACATGGCTGGTTTCTAAACGCACAGCAATCTGCTATTACATTGGTTGTTGCCAGTTGAAAAACAATCGTAAACCAAAGATGCTAGAATCAAACGATATTATGTTTGACATAACATATTATGTTTATCTTGTATAAAAAGCGTCATTTCGCAAGGTAGGGTAATAAGGAAAATGTCTGCCATTTATCCTCCCTCGTATATGTAGATGATTAATGTGGAAAAGTTCAAAAGCATAAACTTGTCATGTAACAATTTTTTACTGGGAATGAAAGAGAGTAAAAAAGCCCAGATTTTTGCATCAGTCGAATTTGATATAACTGTAATCTGACTGTAACAATATGATAATACCTATAGTATAATACCTATAATTCCAAGACCTTGTAACAGAGTAACCAACGACCTCCGCCTAAAGGAAGTTTTATATGAAGCACACAATAGTATTATTTTGAAAGTATGAGTGTCAGTGCAAAATCTTGATGAATGCACAGGCAACAATAAATTCATCATAGAAATATAATGAAATAACTTCTGTGTATGTGTCAATAGAAATATATTTGTGGGGTTTGTTTCACTGAAAATAAGTACATGTACATACAGAGAAACAATTAAAAAAATATTCAAGATGGAGTTCCTCTCCAGATCCTCCTGCAATTCCCCCCGCTGTTATCTATATATATTTAAAGTTTCACTGGAATCTCTAATGCATTTTTCCAGATTTTCTCTTGGCAAGGAAAATAAGACCATGTTTAGCTTTGAACTCTTAGTGTGACGTTGACCTTGGTATAGGTCAGAGTGTCGCGCAAGACTCATTGTCTTAATATGGTGTATATTTGTGCAAACGTTTTTCAAAATACTTTGATAAGTGAAAAAGTTGCGGTTCTGACACAAAAAGGCATTATACCAGAACACTAATCTTTGACCTCTAAGTGTGACCTTGATCTTTGAGGAAGGATTCTGAGTGTTGTGTATGACATGTGGTCATATTATGATAAACATGTGTGTCATATTATTTCAAAATCCTTTCATGGATGAAAAGGTTATGGATTAGACAAGAAGTAGACAAGAAGACAACAAACAATGTTGACGGTGACCATTGTAAGCACGTTGTCTTAAATAGTGAGCATTTGTGCCAAGTTATTTCAAATACATTGATGTACAAAAAAGTAATAAACCGGACACGAATTGTATCGTCCTTCAGACAATTTTGACCTTTGATCTCCAAGCGGGTCCCCGTGGAAGTCTGGTTGTTTCGCATGACAGGTCGTCCTAATTTGGTGAACATATGTTATTTCAAATGATGAGTTACGGACCGGACAGACGGACGGAGCCTTTTAACATATCCCTCTTTTTCTTTGAAAAGGCGGGAGACAAAAACGTAAACAAATGTGTTAAATCACCAAGGGGCTTTTTGGCATAAATTGTGGTCGTCAATTTATAATACCGACTAAGATTACTTCATTCCAACCTTTTAATCTAAATACTACAGCAAACCATTTCCTACATGATAAATAGTTTGTACCCAGATTACACACATAATGATGATAATAACATATTACTAACAGCTACTTGTTTTACATGAATTAAAATTTTGCGACATTTAACGGTAGTGTTGCGACATTTAACGGTAAGGGAAAATCGTGCGACATTTAACGTTACCATTGCGACATTTAACGACAGGCAATTTTGCGACGTTTAGCGGCAATAGTGCGACAATTAGCGGTAAGTGCGACATTTAGCGGCGTTGCGATATATAATGGCGCCACACTGATGAATCTGGCCTTTGTGAACGCGACACAGTGAAATATAAATATCTCTCGTTTCAATTCGGGATCGTAAAATAATCATACAGGTATAAATGTATTCATTTTATTCATTGAGCGAAATGATAAAAGAACATTCTTATATTGTGGCTTTCCACATTATTATAATATACAATATATAAGTAACTGTACAATATATTTAGGGTCATGTCTATTTAACATCAGGGCCGTTTGTATTGAGTTGTTTAAACTATCATAAATTCGTAAATTTTCGTTAATTTCCTTTGCTGATAAAAATAATTTTTATTTTTATTTTTTAATTAAACTATTTCCAACAAAGATGCATTATTGTATACATGCCAGTTAAAGGACGGATGAATAACCTTATGTGCTTTATATTCGGTCACTTAACAGTGTTATAAAATGTTTTTTTTTCTTTATCTTTACAATTTACATAGCTTTTATGTTCCTATAAAAGATCATGTGAATTCTGTTGAGAAACACAAACAAATGACAAAAAATGTTTTAAATCATTCAATTTCCTACAAACACATATCGTTTTGATTTGACACGACATATTTTAAACAGTATTCAAATGTTTCTAAAGCATCGGCTATTGACTAGACAGTGGTAATACTTGAGATCTATAGTAAATTCAACACCGGTCACTCGTTAATGACCTACTATTGAGTGCTTTCCTGATTACTCCATCCTCACGACGTATTGACCAAATTAAGCGAAAAATCACTATTTAAGCGAATACAGACATTGCCTTTTAATAGTATACACTAGACCTTTGAAAGAACGCCGACAAACATTGTAAATCAAACAACCCAGACAGGGAGTGTTTGCTTAGCTGTAATTGAAAGCATAATGTTAGTTTAAATCGCAAAAAAGCAAATTTGAACCGAATGACCACCCTTAATATTTGAAAATGGTATAATACGTATCTAATATAGTTTTGAGACCTTTCTGTTGAAAATATCGTATACCCATAAATGCGTAGTGCTTTATTTGTATTACTTATCTGCACTTCAGTTACCCTACTGTCTGTCGGGATTAAAAATAAAGCGTGTTCTTCTTTCCCAGGGTTTACTTATAATGACGAGAAGGCAAGGGGTAATGATTCAAATGCTTGTACATGGGTTCATTTATTCTGACGTTTTATTTTGTGACAGAGGTCACAGGGAAATTTATTTTAATTTTATTTTTGCCCATGATACAAAAGATAAAGAACGTGGAAACATCCTGCAATGTGATTTATGGTCATTTTAAGAGCTATTTTGAAAATCAACTAATATATCAAAGTTATACGCACGTGGTAAGACTAATATTATTTATTAACTGATATGTCAGAATAGAACAAAACAGAACAGAAACAGGAATTTTATGTCAGATTACCTGCACGCGGTACGACATTTGTTTGTGTTTCAAGCGCAATCTGCATTCCAGCTATTTTAAAATGTGCAATTAATGACGTCACTCCTAGTTGGTACAGACCGGCTACCTCAGATGTCCAGTTACCCGTGTTTATATCACCAACTGAAACATACCATAAGCTTAAAATATACCAATTTTAAACATACACCAACGTTGGTTTTTGCTTGTTTAAAATATACGTATCAAAAGTCAACAATTACTGTTTTTCAACGATGATAAATAATTTCTTAAGTAATAATTGAAGCAGATTTTTTTTATCTCAAATATTCAATCTTTTGTTCCATTTCAAATATTCATTAGAAATATTATTTCTTTGTCTTTCTGCATTTTGTTTATTCAATTCTCTTTTCACTGCGTTTGCTTTCTCAGAAATTTCGAAATTTCAAATAATAAAGAATGGTTGAATACTTACTATTTATGTTCATAATAAAAAGTTTTTATGCTAAATACTTATACCGATTCAACATGTTTCATACTTTAATGGTAATGTACTCGAAGATTTACTAATATTGACTCCTATAAGTTTACTTACAATAAATATAAGATTAAACTAAAGTATGATATTAAATAAATAGAACTTTTGAAGCTCAGTTTTACGAACATATCAAGTTTGAAACACAAAGATGAAACGTGCTTGTGTTGGATTCAAACCCACGAACACAAACTTATATTGAAATAAACAATACTCTTGGCAACTGAAAAAATATAACACTAATAAGCAGTAAGCCTGAGTAAACTACCTATGACTTCTGAATGTGTAAAGGTAGCGCCGCTAGGTTGGATCCATGGCCCACACAACCCGCCGACTGTGTCCTCCAGTGGACACGAGTGTACGTTAACGTGCCAAACACAACAATTTGTCGTAGTGGCGCTAGAGGCCGCTGGGCACACAGTCGTTTCACACCATGTCTTCGCTTGTGCGGCGCTTCTGTTACAAGATAGAAATAGTAATCATTACAAATTGATTCAATTCAGTTCTTGCAGTCGTCTACGAAGACATTTGAGCCGCGTCACAACAAAACCAACATAGTGCGTTTGCGACCAGCATGGATCCAGACCAGCCTGCGCATCCGCGCAGTCTGATCAGGATCCATGCTGTTCGCTTACCAACTCTATAACAAGTAGAGAAACTGATAACTGATAAAACAAGTTTATATTTGTTTAAATATCTTATCTTATCTTAAATAGGCTTTTAAACAATAATCAAATCATGACTTTAAGAATATCTTTTTTTTACATTAATTTTCTTATAGGCTGCTTGTTGTAAAATACTGTTAAAAAAGTTAACCATTTCAAATTTCACCAATACTTGTTAAAGAATCCACTCAAAATAAAGCAATGGATCAATTAGGCGTTCACCAGAAACATGCAAAAGTCTCTTACAAATTGATTGATCTTTGATTCGTAATTTACAAAATTAGCATGTTCTTTTGAACACTGAAATTATGGGCGTATGTTTTAAAAAATTTAACAAGCGTTTAAATGTTATCACAACGTAACTTGAAAGTAAGGCAACAAAATGTAACCGAAGAACAATTCTACATATAAAAGAAGTTCTTTATAAAAGTATCAGAAACGTGATTTATGTCAATGATAATTTAATTTCATGCGTATTAATATCAGATAAGTTCACTTATTTTATTAATGACATTAATTCCATAGTTTATTTTATGTACTTCTCGTGCTAACACGGTCTCACGCAATTATATTTTCACAAAGTGTATCCCTAAAAATAAAAATCTCTTAAACTGGTCGTAATTAAGACACTAACGTTAACTTACGTTACACCACCAATTCCATTAAAGTAATTATTGTCAAATGCCCATGTGTAAAAGCCGTCATTCACAATTAGTTCATAGGTCAATGTAAAATGCTCCTGGACTGGAATCGTATCCCCAGCGGTCGTTATCCACCTCAGATCAAAACCTGTCACGAATAAAATCAAAGCGCTTAAAGTACTTCATGTCATTGATATCACACGAACAATTAAGTAGTTAATATGTACTTAAAAATATCATATAGTTATACATTTATGCGTCCGCAATTCTATTGATGAAGAAAATATGTTTTAATTCGGAAGCAAAAGAATTGTTGTCATCTGAAATAGTTTTTTCATTCATATACATTGTACTTGATTTGTGCAAAAGTCTGATCTATCAAATCCATTCGGGCTATAATTGAATAATGGTGCATAATTTACTCATTTAAATAGAGAAATAATAACAAATCTTTCTTTTGATCAACTGATTATTTCCTTTGTTACGGTGTGGAGATTTTTGCACTTCAGTTAAAAAGTACGGTGACCTTTTTAATCTTAACTTATTTGTCCCCATAAATTGTAAAGATACAGATAAACATATTTTAAAAGAACATGTTAGGTTTGGAAAAAATATTCATGCCAATGCAACACCTTTTTGATTGAAGTAAACAACACCCGAGTTCTTCATTTTCTGAAACTGACGACTTAATTTCATGATAAAAATCAGTATTCAATCGTATTCATTTTCATGATGATTTACCTTGAACATCAAACTAACATTGTTATCTGATAACTATTAAATCTGATCAGAGAAAAATATCACTAAATGCTTTTAGTCTAAAGGATAAAAACCATCACAAAGAGATATTTTTGATCATTTTATTCACTGGTGGAATTAATTTATTAAGAGGAAAAAGCGACACGCATTTAGCTTTAGAATAAATCACCCGACCAATCGATTAACAGTGAATTAATCCACACCAAATCTTACCATAAAGTCGATTGTTCTCGTTTCTCAATATCTAATTGGCGTAATTAGGAAAACAACAACTATGACAAAACAACAGTACGGAATTCCGTTAGGGCCATCGTGGTTTCGCGCTGTCGCCCTGTGAATAAAATGATTGACGCGAAAACACGATAGACGATCGCGAAAACACGATGCGAAAACATCGCGTTTCCGCGCTATTAATATCGTGGTTTCTCCTTTTCGTCCTTGGTTTTCCATCGTGTTTTCGTGTTTTCGCCTTCGCGGTCAGTAGGGCGAAAACGCGAAAACACGATATTGATAGCGCGAAATTTTTCGCATCGTGTATTCGCGATCGTCTATCGTGTTTTCGCGTTTTTGCCCTACTGACCGCGAAGGCGGAAATACGAAAACACGATGGGAGATCGAGGGCGAAAACGCGAAACCACGATACTTTTAAAAAGTGCGATATAAAAACATCATGTTTTCGCGCTTTTGCCTTCGCGGTTGAGAGGGCGAAAATGCGAAAACAAGATATGAGATCGCGAGAACAAGATGCCAAAAATATCGCGTTTTCGCGCTAATAATATAGTGTTTTCGCGTTTTCGCCCTTCTGACCGCGAAGGCGTAAACACGATGGGAGATCGACGGCTAAAACGCGAAGCCATGATATTAATAGCGCGAAAACGCGATATTTTTCGCATCGTGTTTTCGCGATCTCTTATCGTGTTTTTGCTTTATCACATCGTGTTTTCGCGTCAAGGTATCGTGTTTTCGCGATTTCGCCCTTAGGACGACAGCGCGAAACCTCGCTGGCCCTAAAGGAACACCGTACAAAAGTGAAAAAATAAAGGATTGCAATTATGAGATTAATTGTAATTAGATACCTTCACATGATATCGGTACAGTATTTGTAGAACTAGCCGAGAGGTCCCAGCAATGGTAATCTGTGTTGTCAAAAGCATGCCAGCCCAAACTCTGCTCTATGCATAAAAGACCCTGAAAGTAAAAATAAATATGTCTAGCATCTACTGTAGATCAGAAGACTTAAGTTAAAGGAAAAAGGAATAATTCCATATAATGGATGACAAATTAACGTCTGTGATAACACTTCATAATATTTGGCTGGAATAGACGATATAACAATTGAGATATTTATAAAAGTAATAAATCATCATCATCAGCATCATCATCATCATCATCACCATAATCATCATCATCATCAACAACAACAACAACAACAGCAGCAACAGCAACAGCAACAATATTAATATATGTATCTATATAGATTTTTATGCCGCTATAAATTTGAACTAGCAGTGCACAATTGATTTGAAATAAGCTATATTATGCATTTGATTAAAATTTTCTTCCCATGCCAAAAAAATTTAAGATTCTCAAAAAAATTACAAGGGAGAGGTAAAACAACAACCACAAGAATTACTTGTAAATAGCAAACAACAAAATGATTGATCCTCATTGTCAAACGTCATAAAATCATCATAAACGATAACTTGTTCGCATTAATTTAGCAATATGTTTGACATGTTATCAGAAAAATAGATTTTAAACAGTTAAACACTTGATAAATGATAAAAAAGGGTCACCCTTAAGACATCAAAGTGGCCCAGTCCTGTTATCTTTAATGGTCGTATGAAATAGCAGAATTTACAAACAGTCACATCTGTTTTACAGTGTAAAGCTAGACCAAGTTTCGTCAGTTACTTTTTATTGGGAAAGAGCTATGAACGCTTTATGATAAATGAACGGAGCTCATACATGTATTTGCTTCTTTAAAAAAAGCATGAAAGGGGTTCTTTTATGCAGCTGTGGAGGATTTGCTTATTTGGTCAAATAGCGGAAAAATAAGAATTTCTGATTGGTCGAATTGCATCTGCGAACAAAGCAAGCGGGGCATGCGCATAACAATCATTCTCAACACTGTGGAGAGATCTGATGATCTCTACAATGAGATAGCCAAATAAAATTCTGAAAGCATTAATTTTCTAAACTCTGTGATTCTTAAGCATGTTTCATTCACCATCCAGTTATATTACTTATTTCAATTCGTGAATGATACTGATAAATCAGGGCGTTTGTCTACTGTAACACGCGCATTAGGGCACTTTAAAATTACTTTTACCAATGTTATTGAAAGTCAAGGTCTGTTTAGAAATACCCTGTTACAGAGAGTTTAACTGTAAGCCAGCCGGTAGCTAACAGTGCAAACCATGATCAGACGGCTCAGATGTGACGGCTGATATTGGACTGCACTGGTAGCACGTCTGCTCATGGTTTGCACTGTTAGCTATAATCCGTTCCCTGGAACTAACAATTGCAATTGACAAATAAGAAAACTTGGAAATTACCGAGTAGAGTTCAAACCAACAATCACCCTGACACCCTGACTAATTTATTCCAATTTTGACTAAAATATATACTTTTAGGAAATATATTTTCAATTAATTAATACAAACTAATCTCCGAAGCGCGAACCAAATGATGTTTGAATGAAAAAAAAACATATTAAAGTTTAAACCATCTATCACTGAAATTTACTCTATAAAAGCATAAAAATGGTTTATTAATTAATTCTTACGCGACCCGCATTTTTCGTATTGACATGGAAGAACCGAAAGTATGTGTAAATATGCAATAAAAGCACTGTTTATATTTAGACTTATAGTATTGCACGTTTGTAACATCACTTTTCATTGGATAATCGTGACTTTAATATACACGACTGCTGTCGATTTATAGGGAAATCTCGCTTCATTCCCATAAAAATGATGCTTGCTGTATTATAAATTCGTAATAAATATTTCTGACACGTTACATGGCCTAGCGGCTCGGGTTATATTTACAAGCAACCGTTTATATAGGGTCATATAACCTGTTAAAACTCTTTATAATTAATAATGTGAAGTAACCATTAAAATGCAGCGCGCTGAAAATAAATACGGAAACAAATTAGGGACAAATTAGCTTGATAAAATGTACAGCAGCATTTGTTTGTTGATGTGTTAGAATTGAAATATTTTATCCTTATTACTTAATAAAATATTTTTGCTGTTCGGAAGCGCTGCATTATATCACTCCTGGCTTTGACAATAAAATCACTGTTGGGTATATATACCTGTATAATTTCTGTAATATTCCTTGTGTAAACATTAACTCATAACTGTTGATAAGAGCAATGAATAAAAATTATAATTCAACAACACTTAATCTCATTATGTAAGATTATAAAACCATAAATGCTAAAACCTTCTTTAAATTATTCATGCGGTCAATCATATTAGTAATGACCTTAAAGCCACACTTGTCATTAAATGTACAATGGTATTAAAACCATTGTTTAAACTAAACATTGTGATAGTTATCTTAGGAACGACATTGTTAACTGTATAAATTGTAATAGGATTTAAACAATAGTCAATATTTTATAATTGGAATGAATTCCTGATCTTTGCCAGTATTTGTGTAGGGGTAATATGACGCCATTGTTAAAAAAAGAAATTGTGTTAGTTCCAGTTCAACTATAGGTGGGAATCATTTATTTTTTTCTAACGCTGGTGCAGATTTTTGTAAACCACAAAGAATAAGTTAAATGACACGACTAAAAGCACAATAAATAGGGTCCTAAAATTAGGTTTGATATTACCATCAACATTAATGGTTATATTTATGGACAAAAATGATTTTTATAACCATAATCAATGTACATTTATTCTTATGCCAATACAATTACAAATGTATGGTCGTAAAGGTTATGTACAAAGTGTTTTTAATACAATGTTTTTTTTCTCTTTGAATTTCTGCATCATAGACTGTTACAGGTATTAACATTTCCAAAACAAGCTAAGATTTGCCGTTCAGCCGGGTATTCGATTTTTGTGTGGGCGACTTGATGCTTTAGCATCAAAACCTCTTCTTGTGTCGTTTGGCGAATTTAACATTTTCGCTTGCTGTAGGACTCTTGCAATAGTTAATGCAAACGCATGAGACAGGGTATATCTATTTAGATTTCAAACATGCTGTATACGGGAAAATATACCCTACTAACTAGACATTGTATAATACAACTGCAAAAAATTCAAATGAATTAATCACATTCTATTTAACTTCCTATACAGAAATATCGATATGACAAACGATATCATCCCGCGTCTATCCTTTGAAAACAGAATTAATTTTGTTATTGTATATACCTCGTACAGTTACATGACAAACAAAACTATGCCAATAATTAATGCAACACGGCGTAAAATTGTCTCTCATTCACCGGTGATATATTTCCATAAGCTTTTTAAAGTTATACAATAGTTATACAATAAATGTAAATTGCTGAAAAGGAAGAAAATTGAAAGCAAATAAAATTAGAGCAGGTTTTTGTTGTTGTTTTTTGTGTGTTTTAGCTAAATATTGATACATGTAGTAAAGTTTAAGTACATGAGTGTATTACAACAGTAAAGGAAACGTTTTAGTTGTCTTAAAAGTACATGTACATGTATATAAAGCATTATAATCAAAAGTGTAACAACTTTATAGTTTGTTCTATAGCTTAAGCAAGGACTGTTTTTATGAGAATGTAAATAACTACTTTTCACAAAATTTTAAGCAAGTAAATGAATAAAAAACCAAGCCCCATCTTTTTTTCCCCATGTGCGCAGAATGTTTAAATGAAAATTTTTGATTCGGTTTTTTTTGGGACTTGCGAAAAATTTATGATTATAGGTTAGTTACCCCAAAAAACTGGTAAACTGGATCGATCGCCAAAATTTTTTCGTTAAAATCGGCTTTTAAATCCAGAAAAACAAATTTGTTTTTTAATTATAAAATGAAAATCCCCCGTAAACCTTTTCTCAACAACAAGAAATATGCGTTAAATTCAATTGACATATTAAGTTAGTTAAATAATTGTTTCGCAAATTTTTATTTTACAACACATTTACCTTTTTCATGACCAAACATATGTAATCGAAAGTTAAAATAACCAATATTTTTTATTCAAATTAGGCAAAAACAATTAATTGCTGTTTGTCATCAAAGGGTTTTTATGCTATTTATCTGTTATTCTCTAATGCCTGTTCAATAATTGATTTATTTTTTAATGGTTCATGCACTTTTACATTCTCTTACAAAACCTATTTATACAACAAAGTCAACCTCGTTATCCCTTTTATCAAACCGCTCCATTAATTACAATATCAATTAAAAGAGAACTGTTGTTGGTCGCAGTATACCATTAAAATATAAACGATAAGAAATGACATCTGTAGTAAAAGTTATATTGTGTGTCACTCATTTTTTCCCAATTACGCACATTTCTTTAACATTTAGTCTGAATGGATAGTCATTCGTCTCGCTAACATGATGATGATGATGATGATGATAATGATCTAGTAATAATAATAATAATAATAATAATAATAATAATAATAATAATAATAATAATAATAATAATATAAAAATAATAATACAAATAATAATAACAATAATAACAATAATAATAATAATAATAATAATAATAATAATAATAAAGAAAACAGATTGTGAAAACTATATCTAAAATACCTAACTTTTATTTTAGTTTATACAGAATTTATTTTTATGGTCTATTATACATAACTTTAATGGTGGTAGGTTCTGCTTTTCATGATAACTTAAGAAAAGTTGTGTCAAAAATTGTACATTGTGTACCTATCGAAGAGGGGATACATTGGATTTAAACCTTACTCGGAACTGTTTATGTCGTTTGACGAATTTAACATTTTTTCGCTTGCTGTAGGAACTCTGCGGTGTTCCGTCTTGATTAGTAAAATATAAAAACGTGAAACAGGGTATATCTATTTTAGATTTCATACATGCTGTATACGGGGAAATATACCCTACTTACTGAGACATTGTATAATACAACTGCAAAAAAAAAATTAAAAATGAATTTAATCAAATTCTATTTAACTTCCCTTACAGAATATTCGATTATGACAAACGAT